TGGGATGGGAAGGATGCCAGAAATCCATCATTATAGGAATAATCTTATAATTTGAATATTAAAATATAAAATGTACGGGGGGGATGGCCGTGGTGTTGGTGGGTGAGCAGGACCTGCAGCAGCAGCAGCAACAACAGAGGAGGAGGAGAAGGATGAGGAGGAGTAAGAGGAGGAGGAAGGTCAGATCTCCTCTTGGATAAACAGGTCAAAAGCCTTCAAGACCCCAAATTTAGCAGGACTAGGGTGTGCAGGTGCCACGGTGGTGACGTGATGGTGTTCTGTGCATCAACAGTGTGGATGCAGCCACCAAACCCATGGAAACAACTCCCAAAAACTTGCAAACGGTCCCTTGGCACCCACAACACAGAGGGGAGGTGGAGGAGGAGATTTAATTCCCTGTGGAAGGGGGAGCTGTGTCCCAGTTCCAGCATCCCTGGGCAGGTGTAGCCCCTCGGTTTAGCCCCGTTGGCTACATCACTGGGTAAGGTTGTTTCGCTGCTGGAGCTACAACAACATCCCAGAAAGTTAATTCTGGCACCTCCTGCCTTGGCACAGGGCAGGCAGGCACCACATGGCACTGAGCCAGACCCTCTGCGATGCCGGCAGGGAGCAACAGCAGCACCGCCCGTGCCAGGCACCCCATCCTGGGGCTGTGCCCCCTTGTCGGGGGGGTGGCCTGGGGACAGTGGAGTGGCTTTTGGGGATGTGGCTGGGATACAGGGGGATGAGAAGGGGTGTAGGGCTGAGATCCCAGATTCGAGGGGCCAGATCTCTCCGTTAGTGCCTCTATGGCCTCCCTGACTGGCTCTGCCTGAGGTGTTTCAAGGGCCATGGACAGGCCTCGGTACAGGGATGGGGCTCAGCCCCAGAGACACTCCTGGCCATCCTATGAACCAGAAGGGATCTGAGAAAAGCAGGGATGTCCCTGGGGTGGCTCAGATCTTGCAGCTGGTCTCTGTACTCTCCCAGAAGACACAGGTCTCCAAATTGGTGGGACCAATCCCCACAAGCATCCCTGTCACTGAGGATGACAGTGTCCCTCAGCAGCTGGTGCTGAGCTCTGCCACCTCTGCCCAGCCTCAGTTATCCCCTTCTGGGTGTAGGGCAGGATGACATCCCAGTGCCAGCCCCCCAAACTCCCCTGGCATGAGGCTGACGAGTCGTCCCCTGCACCGGGGTCCTCTCCAGTTGCCTGCATCCCCCCTCAGAGCAGGGCCAGTAGCCGAGAAGCTGCACTGGGACCAGAAGCCCGTCCAGGGAATATAATAAAATTAAAGCTCATTAAGCACTTAGAGAAGGGTTTGCATTGAGGGGGGGTGGGCGGGGGAGCCGGTGGGGCCGTGCATCTCAATACTGGGCTATTTAGAAGGGAGAATTTAATAACAGGGGGGGTTGGTTTTTATGGCAATAGATTTATTCCACCTGGGCTAAGAAATACATTCCACATCTGCCGAGCCGTGTAACCAGACTCTAATTAAAATCGTGTGCCAAGCGAGGGCCTGGCTGGAAAACACAAAGCTGGCTTTTAGAGCGGCTGGGAACCGCGGCCGCGCCGAGCCCGGCCCCGGGCCAGGCGGCTGTGGGGCGGCAGTGGCAGGCACTGGTGGTAGGCACTGGTGGCAGGAGGTGGTGGCAGGAGATGGTGGCAGGAACCTGTGGCAGGAGATGGTGGCTGGCAGGACGGGCACGGGGGTGTTGGAGGGGCTGTGCCACCTCTTGCCTGCGCCACAGTGGGGTAGGAGGGGTGGTGGAGGGTGGGGGGTGTCCGTGTGTGTGCGGGGACCCTGGGACAAGGTGGCATCTGCATGTGTGCAGGGACCTTGGGGACAGAGTGGTGTCCGTGTGTGGAGGGACCCTGGGACAAAGTGACATACCTGTGTGTGGTGACTGTGGGGACAAGGTGATGCCCATGAGTACACAGGGACCCCGGGACAAGGGGACACCTCTCTTTATGCAGTGACCATGGCGACGAGGTGACACCCACGTGGGTGCAGGCACCGAAGGACAAGGTGACATCTCTCTGTATGTAGTGAGTGACCACAGGGACAGAGTGACACCCCTGTGTGTGCAGGCACTGTGGGTCAGGGCCGTGTCCATGTCTGCACAGGCATCCCTGGGGACAGGGCGACGTTGTGTGCATGGTGGCAGTGACACCTGTGGACATGTGGTGACAGTGGAATGGGGCAATGACCTCGTGTGCACAGTGGCCACTACACAAGCAGTGACACAGGGAAAGGGTGATGTCTCCCGGAATGCTGTGACCCCAGGGACAAGGTAGATGGTGTCTGTGCACAGTGGTGGTGACACACATCTGTGGGATGGACCATGGGATGGCTGATGTCCCTGCACAAGCAGTGCCACGGAGATGGGGTGACAGCCACATGTGTGTAGCAGCAGGGACAGCGTGACACCCCTGTGTGTCTGCAGTGACAACAGGGAGAGGGTGACACCCATCTGTCCACAGTGTCCACAAGCATAGGGTGACATCAACACATGTAGCACCATGTGGGTGACATCCACACACCTATAACGACCGCAGGATGGGGTGACACCCTGTGCTAGTGACATGGGGACAGGGTGATGGCCATATGTATGTTGTGACCACAGTGACACCCACAATGTGGGATGGGTGATGACCATGAACGAGCAGTGCCACGGGGATGGAGTCACACTGGTGACAGGGTGACACTGGTGACGTGGTGTCCACACAGCCGCGGGCACTGGAGCAGCGGTTACGGGGCTGAAAGGCCGCCCTGTGCACCCCAACATGGGACAGATTTTACAGTCCTGCTAAGTCGAGCCTAAAATGTCCTGAACAAACAGCAGTTCTGTCTCGGGTTTAATAGCCCCGTCCTCCAGACAGCAGCAGGAGCGCCAGTTCTGATGGAGAAACTCATGAAACCTTTGAAATAGTTTGTACGGGAGTAGTGAAGTGAGAAAAAACCCCAGAGCGCTCGCTGCCAAGGAAAACACACTTACCTAGTAAAGCATGAGTAATAAGTGGCATTTTTTACAGTGTGAAGATATAACTTTTCACGAAAATACCAAATAAGGCTCCGTGCAAAAAGTGGACGGCCTTTCTAGTTGATTTTTTTTTCCTTCCCTTCTCTTTCTTCCCTTTCTTTTCGTTCTCAAGGCACACGTGTGTTTTCCCCAGCGCCCGTTTTGCAGGACCCTGTTTACAGCGCCGCCTTCCCGCCACTCCCGGGTTCCTCCGCCGTGAGATGAAACGAGGAGGGAATGGAAAAACAAGGGCTGCTGTTCTGTGAGACTTTCTATTTTTAAAAGGTTAAAAATATCTATTTTCAGACACTCAGCCCAGGAAGCGCTGGGGTGAAGCGACGCGGCAGGACGGCAGGAGTAAACAAGCGCCGGGACGTGCCGGGAGGCGCGGGAGCTGCGGCTCCGGGGATGCTCAGGGGACGGGGACAGCACGGGACACCACGAGCCGTGGGTGTGGCCACAAGGAGAGGTGGCTGCAGGGCCCGGTGCCAGTGGGGATGCTCAGCCCCGAGGGAGGATGCTCCGCATCAAGGTGGGATGCTCAGCCCCTCAAGGGAAGGTGGTCCATACCCAGGGGGATGCCCAGCCCCAAGGTGGGATGCTCAGCTCCAAGGCTGGGTGATGTTCAGCCCCTGAGGAAGGGTGCTCAGCACCCAGGGGCATGCTCAGAGGATGCCCAGCATGCTTGGATCCTGAGGGGGAATGCCCAGCTCCTGAGGGGGATGCTTTGCACCCAGGCAGAACGGTTTATCTGCCCCCACAGCACAGGTCTTGGAGCCCTCATGGCTCAAGTGTGAGGGATGGAATGCTTGGCTACTGCCCATGGAACCCACTGAAGGAGAGGGATGTGGTACCCACCGTGAGAGGAGGGATGTGGAAAAACCATCTCCAAAATCCCACAGACGCTCTTCCTCCCTGCGTTTTGCAGCTTTGCTCCCCTCTCCACCAAGGTGAAGGTGCTGGTGATGCTCTCTGAGCTGGCTCCAGCAGTGGCTGTGCCCTTGTGCTCATCCCTTGGCCACACCTGGGCACCTTCTCCTGGGGTTTCCTGTTGCAGACATCAAACACGTCACGTCACAGCCCCCCAGAGCAGTGATTTCAGGGGTGACCTAATTGTGGGAGCCTACAAGGCGGCTGCAGGGGGACTTTGGACAAGGGCCTGGAGTGACAGGACCAGGGGGAATGGCTTCAAACTGACAGAGAGGGGGGGTTAGATTGGATATTAGGAAGAAGTTCTTCCCTGTGAGGGTGGTGAGGCCTTGGCCCAGGTCACCCAGAGAAGGGTTGTTGAACGTTGGAAGAAGGGGCTGCCCAGGGAGGTGGAAGAGTCCTCATCCCTGGAGCTGCTCAAGCAATAACAGGACATGGTACTCGGTGCTCTGGTCTGGTTGACAAGGTATGGATCGGTCACAGGTTGGACTCTGATGATCACAGAGGCCCTTCCCAATCTACTCAATCCTGTGATTCCATGATCCACAGCACTGACACACAGCCCTGGCCCGCTCTCCCCTCTGCCAGCGCTGGGACTCGCTGAGCAGTGCTTTGCTTCCTTATAAGGCCCTGCTGTTCCCTGCTCCAGTATCTTAGCTGGCATTGTCTGCTGGGAGGGCAAACAATTCCCAGCAGGCTGCTGGGACACCCTCCTGCCCAGCACAGTTATCCTGGATTAGCAGCGCTTCCCCACATCCCTCCTGTTTTCCTTTATCTACCCCCGAGCGGGAAGAGCCAGAGGGCGTTTTCCGAGCAGGCTCTGCCCCGCGGGAAGGAGAGTTGTAAATCAACTCTGCTACCTCCCAAACAAAGGATGGGGATTTTTCATCCCTCAGAGCAGCGTTTCCAGCCCCTTCCCAAGGGCTGCTGGTTCTGAGGTACCTTGTCCGACTGGAGCCTGGTCCATCAACAGTTTTAGGTCCAGAGGACGGTGCACCTTAGCCCACATGGAAAACAAGGATGAAACTTCCTCTGCCTGAATAAAAGGCCTTCAGGGAGTGAAGAAACACTATAAACCACACTTTATTTAATACATGAACAAATACCCTCTCCCACTGCCTCTTCTGAGGCTCTTCCAGGGGTGTAAATATGGTGGGGAGATCCAGGGGGAAAAGATTTGCCCTTGGAGTTGGATCTCCAGTTATAAATCACACATACACAAAGACCTCTGTATCTCCCAGTAGGAGGTTTTGGACCCTGAGCCCCTCAAATACCACATCCTGAGGTAGGAGATGTGGTCGTTGCTCCAAGAGCCAGAGCCTGGCTCCTGGACATTTCACCCCCTGCCAGCCCCCAGGTGACAAATGGATGACATCCACCTACAAAGGAGCCTTCTCCCTCTAACCAGCTCCATTTTCTTGCTCCCAGGCAGTGTCTGGGGACACTTCAGCCTCGGCTGAGGGGGCATCCAGGGACCTGAGGCCCCCCTGGGGCTGGCAGACCATGCAGTGCGGGAGTGGGGAGTATTAGATCATAATTTTTGGAAGTCTGAAGTTCGCCCAGGTCCTGCTCCTTCAGACATTAAGTCATTTTCCTGAGGAAGTGGCGTGTGACGTTGATCTGGTTATAGAGGGAATATAGGGGTGGAGCAGGGAGCTCCAGGGAGACCACGGCAGAGGTGAGGAGCAAGAGCACTGGGACACCATGTCCTGTCAACATCTGCCAGGGGAATAGGACTGCAGGGGTCCAAATTCAATACAAATCCTGCTGAGATTTCAGGTGCACTACAACGCTCAGTTTAAAGCTTCCAGTTTTCATGGAAGAACTCTTTACACGCTTCACCAGGGAAACATCTTTGATTTCCATGCAGTCAAATATCATAATGACCCCTGGAAACCAGGATGTGACAAACCATTTAATGAATATAGACAATAGAAAAAAATATCTGCGTTTAATGGGATATTTACTTATCGTGGGTTTTTCTTCTAATAATTAAATTGTCTTCCTTAAGCCAGAACAAGATTGTTTTTTCTTTCCCCAGGACACAGCAGTGCCACAAACCCAGTGATGCCACTGGTTTGCAGTGGATCCTCTCACACCTTTTGGGGTTACAAACTGCCTTGGGCGACATGACTTCAATCCAGCCAATTGGTCACAACCGGTGTGTGCTCAAATTTCCCGAGTCCCCAACCTGATCTCCAGGTCAGAACGACTGTAAACACACTCAGTCAGCCCTTTCACTGGCCACAGGTCAGGACATTTTCAGCTGGGTGGCAGTTGTTCCATGGTCACACTCTTCAGATTCTATCATTCTGCCAACCACAAACGCTTCATAAACCCGTGTGTACATCCATATCCATACACATGTCAGCCTAACACCACTCAACCAACCGCTGGTTGGACATCAGGAACACTCACTGGCCCAAGCTTCAGAAATGCTCAGCATCCATCCCTCTGGAAAATCTGGCTTTTTACATCTGTCTATCAACTTAAGCATCAGAAAAGCAGGAGGCACCCAAAACAACAGCTCCTTTCTGATTAACAGGCCGGTGGTGATTTACTGCTCTCCGTTAATGAGGTTCCTCAGGACCATGTGCTGTGACACACGTCCTTCAGCAGGCAGATGATGAGGTGTCCCAGAAAACTCTTCTCTTGTCTGGGTCATGCCTGTAAAAACCACTTCAGGCAACCCAAAACCTGCCAACCCCAAAATGCAGCAGGTGCCTGCCTGGTGTTATCAGCAGTGCCCTCTAATCACTCTCCCCTCTCACTCATCAGCCTTTAAGGTTAAAGATCCAGTTGCTTTCCCAACAACAACAAAGCCTTCCTCCAATTCCTCTGGAGCCAATTGGGTGGGAAGTCTCAAAGCTGTTTTTGTCAAGCCAGAGCACCAACAGTGTCGTGGTCTATAATTAGGCATCTGAGCAGTTTACAGGGGATACATTCAAGGAAGACAAGAGTAACAGGGTTTTATATGCACTTTTTTGTCCAAAAAAAAGGTTATGAAAGGCAGGGCAAAAACTATTTACCAGTCTTAGGGGAGAAATTAAATTCATTTCATTCAGTTAAAGCTGAAGCAGATGTTCAATATTTGTGCCTGTGTCTGAGGACCTGCTACGTTACGGCTTCTACCCAACGTGAACATTCAGAACAATCTGGAGAGCTGAGGGTGTAAAAAGAGAGAAGAATGCCACAACTCCTCTCCTAACTTAGCAACAAACAGGTGAAAGGCCAGATAAAAAAATATAATTTCATGTGAACAGATTAACAGTCTTCCAAGAGTTCCTCTAGATGTTGCTTCTGGCTGGCAGTTCCCACACTGCTTAGCGAAGATGACTGAAGTTATTGCATTAACAAAGAAAAGCTTTTCTCTAATACAAAATCTAGTCCAGAGGGCTTCCTTACACAGTAAGCAGGATCCCTTATGTAACCCAGGGTTGCATGTTGTCCTCCTCCCCCAGCAGCAGCAGCTGCTTGCAGAGAGACATGCAAAAACGGGGAGCTACACTCCCCCAAGCTGCCAAGAGGACCAGGAGAAAGATCCAGTTCATTTCTTCTGGAAAAAGCCCATGATGGAGACCTGTTTGTTGGCTCTGTTGGCAGGAGCTGCTCCTTTCTTCAGGGTCTTCCTCTCTTCCTTCGGTTCCTTCTTCATGGGCAGCACAGGCTGTTTGTGTGCAGCTGGTGGCTTGGGCTTGGGGAATTCCTCCTCGCTGTCTGTGCAGGACTCGCTCTCATACACCTTCTCAGTCACTGGTGGGAGGAAGAGAAGAGCAGATGATGATGATGGTTAAGGCTGCATATCAAAGAGCAGAGACCTTCCCACTGCAGCCTTCCCACTGCATTTCTGGAAAGGAGTGTTTGGGTTCAAGAAGCACCTGTCAGGAACTAAGCCCACTGCTCAAGGTTAAACAGTAGGAAATGGCCTCAGGTTGTGCCAGAGGAGGTTCAGCTTGGATATTAGGGACATGGAAAAGGTTGCCAGGACAGTGGTGGAGTCCCCATCCCTGGAGGGATTTAACAGCCGTGCGAAAGTGGCACTTGGGGACGTGGGTTAGCGGTGGCCTTGGCTGTGCTGGGGAAATGGACTCAATGATCTTAGAGGGCTTTTCCAACCCTCAGTGATCCTGTGATTTGAATTCACCTTGCAGAGGCTGACAAACAGCCCTAAGAAAGTGATGAATCTGAATGAACCAGTTTAGCCATAGACGATGGAACATCTATTTTATGGTTAAAACCCAGCATTCTGACTTGGTCTGACTTCCACAGGGGCCAAAACAGTGAGATTGTCCAGAAATCCAGACCAGACAACCCTAGAGACAGCCCCAGCCTCCCCTCACCAGCACATCAGACAGTCAGGGAAAACCAAGCAGTTTTCACCCAACTCATGAGAGACAGAGCACAAAACCTCTGGGGCACTTTCCTTCCACAGAGGTGGCCAAACGTGGCAGATACAAAGAAATCCTTTTGGAAGAAATAAAACCAAAGCCACGGCTGAAATCAGGGATATGCCTGAAGGGGATTGCCAGCTCACTGCTGTCAGCGTTCAGTGATGGAAAGCCCAGGGATATAAAACCAGGCTCACGGAAATTAAACTGGAGGCAGCTCCCCTGATGAAAGCCACCGTCAGATACTGGTAAATGTTGTTATATCAGCTTTCCCAGCAGTGTTCTGGGATTCTTCTACTAAAGCTATTTTTCTTTAGCGACTGTATTCTTTTAAATAAATGTCTTAACTTCCCTTCTTCTGGGAAATGGGCTTTCACTTGTATTAATGCATCAAATTTAAGAATGTTTTCTACGTAACCAGAGGCTGGGAAGAGGAATGCTATGAAATCCTGCTCGGCAGCGCTGGGAGAACCTCAAACAGGGACTGGAAAGCAGCCTCCCTTCAGAGGTAACAGGCTTTTCAGGGAGCAGTTTTCACAGAGCATTAGCCAGTGGGTGAGCTTTAAAAACTTACTGTGTTGCCCACCACTGTGAGGAATCTCTGGGAAACTCCCTAAGTGTGCATTTAATCCCCTGCAACTGCGAGATAACACAGTTTAGATCAACTTTCTTTGACTGCAATCTCAGCTGAACTTAAAAGGTCTGTATTTGCAGCACACAGATATAGTTACTGATGCCCCACTCCCAGTCAGACTCCCCAAAAATCACAGTAACTCAAACAACATGAGCTCTAAAATGCTGTAAAACAAATATCTCTCCAATGCACACATCTATATTCTAATATTCAAGCCCACATGTGTCCTTTCAAGCTCCAGAAAGTGCAAGGTAGAAATGCTCTAGTTTAAACCTTGGTAATTCCCCTTTGTTATAGACTAAGAGCAGGAACTCAATCCACGAAATCCCTATTGATACATGGGAACATGTCTTGTGCTTAACTCCACACATACTTTAATTGCTCAATTTCCCTCAGGGCTAATCCCTAAATTAGTTTTGCTTTTTGACACCAATTCCTTGCTATTGCAGCTATTGTGAAAACCATCACTTAAAATTGTGGGGAATGTAAAGTACAGCCTCATTCTAATGTTAGGATTTAAAGTCTCTTAAAACCTAGTCCTGGTTTAAAAAATAATAAAAAAAAAAACAAACCTCTATTTCAAAGAATAACAACAATTTACGTTACTCTGGGAAATTTATGAGTTATTTAGCCTTTGAATTATTAGGCTTGTGCGTGGAAAGGGTGGGGGAGGGAAGGCAGAAGAGAAACTGGGCAATAATCAGACAGCAAGTTTTGCACTACAGGCTTGGAGGGTTTTTAGTAGGGAAAGCAGTTCCCTAGTTCCTCAGTATCCCAGCTCCAACCCCCTGTCCATCCCAGAGGATCTGTCTCCCAAGGGCACAACAGGGGCTCGCATTTCCTCTTTCTTATAAAATGGTAGTGGATGTGAATTATAAAACCTAAAGTCCGGATTTCCCAAGGGACTATGAAACCCCTTGAGGATGAAGAGCAAAGAAAGAAAATCAATATTCCAGGTGTAGTCCATTGGGAACGGTTGAACAGAGGTAGAAGGGCTGGAAGCTGAACCCGGAACAGCCATTCCTCTGCTCTGGACGCAGAGCTTGTTCAGCTCAGCTCCCCAGCTAATGCTATTTTGTTCCATTTTCCTTCCAAGTGTTTTAACGGTTCTATCTGGGATGGGAAAGCAAAACACTCCCTCACGTCACGAGCCAAAACTGCCAATAACTTTGTGCAAGTCCAATTCTTGGACAGAAATCCAGACCTTGGGATTTCGGTCCCTAGTGCAGCCAGTTGCTGAGTGCTAGAGCTTTACATTTCTTTAAAGGAGACACCCCAAGTTAATCGGAACCACAGGATCCAGCTCTGCAGACAGGTGCAAACAGACACAGGCTGACTCAGGGCCAGGCAGCTCCGGAGCCGGGCCAGGAATGCCCGTGTCTGTCCATGCTCAGGCACCACAACAGACCTGGACGACAGCACCAAATCATCTCCCAGAACTGGCTGAGCTCCCCTGACATCCCCTCTGATCACCAAGGCTGGAGAATGTTAAGCATCCCACACAACTGAGTTGACAACAGCATTACGAAACCTGTGTTCCACACTCGTAAATGTATAAAACCTTTAAAAAAAACCAAAAAACAAGACCCAAACGAACATTATTCTGAACTTTTGCAGCTCTACTTCAGTGTCAGAACACAGAGGAAAAAAGTACAGCAACTTTCTCCAGGTCACAGGAGGAAGCAGTGTCCAGTCAGGCTAGAATTCAAAGCCCTGGACTTCTGTAGGGACTCTCTTCTCTCTCTTCCCTCCACCTTCATCAGAAACACAAATCTCTGAAGTATTTAACCCCCAACTTATTCCTTGTTTATCTGGGATACTGAAAGTTTTTTTATTATATAATCAAGTTCTGTTGCACAGCTCTGGATTTATCCCCACAGGAAAAAAAGCCCCAACAAACCCAAACTTATCTCAGCCAGAATTTATCCCAAACCCTAAACCTCTTTCTGCACCACCTTGAAAAGCTCACAGCTTTAGGGAGGAGAGTCCATGAAGGTGGTTCTCATGCTGGCAAGAGGAAAGGGAAAAGAACTGAAAGAAAATCTATGGATAATCAAAGAGAGGTAAGGATTCAGCTCCAGCTCCCTGACTCCCTACCCAGGCCTCCACCAGAAGGGCAGTTCCCTCAGTCTGGGAGCACAAGTTCCATGTGGAATAACAAAGTGATTTCATGAACCTGTAAAAGTCCTCAATAAAGTGAGTTCCACTGAGGGGTAGGGCACAGTCAGCCTTACCCATGCAGCCTTCTTCTTCATCAATAAACATCTTGGATTTCAGCACACGCTTCCTCTTCCTCTTCCTCCCTCCAGCTGACACCTGAAGGGCATGGCAGTATTGTGAGAAACCAAGAGTTAAGGCCCCATCACATACATAGGTCACAAAAGTGTCAGCTCCAGGTCAGAAATTGGTCTCTCTACTGACGATGAGCAACATTTGATAACTAACTTTGCCTTTTCCCAGGATATCTTGGTCAAAATACAACCTCAGTGAGACAGCAAGCTCTCCTGGTGCCAGCACAGGGAGCACATTCCATCTCCAGGACATGAGAGGTTTGGAAATGTGTTTGGTTATGTGAGAAGGGATGTCCCATCACACCTCCAAAGGAATGAAGAAAGGACAAGGTGTCCAGGACAAACTGCTGAGATTTCATAGAATCCTGGAATGATTTGCATTGGAAAGGACCTTAAGCATCATCCAGTTCCAACCCCTGCCATGGACAGGGACACCTTCCACTAGAACAGGTTGCTCCAAGCCCTGTTCAACCTGGTCTTGGACACTTACAGGGATGAGGCAGCCACAGTTTCTCTGGGCAACCTGTGCCAGGGCCTCCCCACCCTCACAGGGAAGAATTTTTCCATGTATCAAACTTAAATTTCCCCTCTTTCAATAAAACTACACCTATTTTCTCAACTCAGAGTTTAACTTGCCAATCTCCCTCATGCAGGAGCTCCCTTGCAATAAAAGGTTGAATACCAAGACTGTCTGGTTTAATTTCTGGAAGTTAATCATTCTAATTTGCTCTTACCTCCATGGCTGCAGGCTCCAGTTCAGTTTTCAGAGCAGGTATAGGTGGTGGAGATGGAGCTTTCTCTTCCTCAGGTGTGGGAGGTGGTGGGACATCTGCTAAGAAGAACACTTTGATAGCACATGGGTCTAATGGCTCCCCCTTCAGCTCCTCTTTTGTCTCAAATAATTCCATTTAACTCTTTTAACTTGTGTTTAGACCAAGGTTTATAATTTCTCACTCGGATTTGTGGAATTCAAATCAGGACACATCACTGGAAGCAGTCAGAGAAGGTTTACCCTGTCCTAAGGTGCGACACACTGCAGTTCCCAAAGAAAGGAAAGTGGGAGAGGATGGGAGAAGTGCATTTGGGATTTTTATGCCAAGGCAAAACAATCAGTTCCACCAAATGAAGCTTTAAATACAGGCACAGGAACGGGCTTGTTTAAGCCATACATTTCACTTGCACATTAAAAGAGCGATTGTCATTTGTTTAGAAGTCAAGAGAGTCAGGGTGTGGTAAAACAGTTGTTGCTTCACTGGTGGTGCTACACATCCCAAACAATCCAAGAATTAATTAAGTGCAATATGCTACTACCCATCCTAAAAGATTGTTAAGGGACATCTCAAGCTTTTATTTGAAAAAAGGAAAAAAAAAAAAAAAAAAGGATCCAAAATCACAAAACCCCCAAACATACAAAAAACGAAGCCTGTTCTCTCGTTGTGCCATCTCCTCGCTCTCTTCTGGGTACAAGGACAGGGACACTGGAATCCACTCAATGCCAAGACTAATTGAACCATTCAAGGACACCTTCACGAGTTTGCATGGAGCAAAAGGCAGGGTCACCCTTCTGTGGGGCTTGAGGAGCTCCAAGAGATCCAAGTGAGAAACAGTGTCACGCAAGTTCCCAGTGTGTGGCAGAGCTGGGAATGTGGGGGAAGAAACTCCTCATCTGACCTATTGCTTCATCCCAACAAGGATGTGGCTGGCTGGGAGGACAGAGCCTGCTTGGCTCCTGCTCCCAGCCCTGCTGGCTGTGGCACCGCCTCCATCCCGCTGGCCTGACACGGATTCAGGATCCGTAGCTGTCCCAGAAGATTAGGTCAGTGTGAAGAGTTATGGCCCTGCCAGGCACGCGGCCAACTGACCTTCAAGGGTTAAGAAGGGCTCAAGTGAAACAGTGGTTGGCTGCCAAGGCTGAATAACAAATTACATTCTTCAAACAAGGACTCAGCCTCCCAACTACTTCAGTAAGCGAGGCACGGAAACGCAAATGGAGTGGGATAACATGACTCGGGGTTTCACCTTACTCCAGAGGGCTGGGGCTGGCAAAGATAAAGCCAAACAACAGCTCCGCTCCGAGGTGTAAGTGCTGGGGCGGCCAAGGAGCTGCGGGGAGCTCGAAACTCTCAATATTTTATTTATCACAGTCTCACGGCAACTGCAGAGCACCAAACCTGCTTCAGCACTGCCCAGCCGGGCCACGTCCATTTGAAATACATTTTTAAGGGAGGACAGGCTGAGAAGAGCTGAAAACCAGCCTCCAGCAGAGGCTGCTAAAGGTATTTTCAATGTGCCCGCTCCACTATGGGGAGAAATTTCCACTTAGGGGAAATTTGGGCTTCTTTGGGTTTTTTTCAGCTTCCCTGAAAAAAGTTCCCCCAGCATTTGGCCGGCAGAAGGTACCTTCTCCCCACGTCAGTGTTTAGGACTATTATCAAGCTCTTTATTACTTTGTTATCCTCCTCTAGCCAACACAGCCCTCTGACATGTGATAACTCCTGAGTCAACCTCTTGCTGCTGCCCACAGTTTACTCAACAGGAACAGCTGCATGAAATGGATACAAGTTGGGCAACTGGATGTACCAAAGATGTAAATCCTGGCTTTGTTCGGTTTGCTCTGACCCTGCCTGGAAAAACTGTGAGAAGCTTTAGTGCTTCTGCTGTGGCTCTGAAACCCACGGAGTTTGCAGGTTACAGTGCCACTGAAATCACCCTCCAAAGTGGCTGTAAAACACTTGTCAACACTGCGAAAGCTGCCTGTGTTCATACAGCTGAAGTTGCCAAAACCTCCTGTCCTCTGTGGGCACATTTGTGGAGTTTATTCTGGCACTGGAAGCAAAACAACCTACAGTGACTAAGGAACCCTCATACCAATATAACTTTTTAATGAAAAATCATTTAAATGGAGAGGATTGTGCCTTATGCTCTCTCTGTACTTGCTACAATGTGCTAACGCTGGTGTAAGAGGAGCTTATTTTGGGCTCCTTTCAGTACACCAAGAGCAGATTAATACAGAACAACGCAAAAGACTTGCCCTGACATAAAAGTGCCCATACAGTGCTTTGCATCAGCCGTGTGGGCTGAGCCTCAAACCCACAAAACCTTCCAAAGTCTGCCTGAAAACAGGGGCTGTGGTTTTTCATAGAATCAATCACAGAATCACAGACTGGTTTGGGTTGGAAGGGACCTGAAAGATCATCTCATTCCACCCCCTGCCATGGGTAGGGACACCTTCCACTAGATCAGGTTGCTCCAAGCCCTGTCCAACGTGGCCTTGAACACTTCCAGGGATGGGGCAGCCACAGCTTCTCTGGGCAGCCTGTGCCAGGGCCTCCCCACCCTCACAGGGAAGAATTTCTTCCCAATATCCCATCTAACCCTGCCCTCTGGCAGTCTGAAGCCATCCCCCTTGTCCTATCACTCCAGGCCCCTTTAAAGTCTCTTTCCATCTTTCTTGCAGGCTCCTTTCAGGTCCTGGAAGGCTGCAATTACATATATGTATATTATTATTTTTTAAATCATTTGTTTCATCCAACTCACATTCTTGAATACTGAACGTAATATTACCAGTTTGGATTCATTATGAATATTCCAAAGAATTCCAATCTACCTTCTTTCATCCAGTTGGATTTAGAAGGGCAAGCAGCAGGACCAAAGGGCCGAGCTCTCTCAGTTTTCACTTTCCCTTTTGCAAGGGACAATGTGAGGGATTTCCATATTTGTATATATGTGTTGTAATTTGCATAAATTTACAATTCTAATGCACAACACAAAGAAATAAAGAGGAGGAGCAACAGCAGTGACAAAACAACCTCTCTAGTGCCTGACCAGCCTCTGGGAGAAGAACCTTTTCCTGATATCCAGCCTAACCCTCTCCTGACACAGCTCCAGCCATTCCCTCGGGTCCTGTCACTGGTCACAGAGAGAATAAACAAAAACCATGGAATAAGTGAGACCACACATACAAAAGCATTAACTGTTCAGCACATGTTATGGTCCCACAGGTATTCTACAGGAGAGCAGAGAGTTCTAATATTCCAAAATCCTGCCTGCTCCCACCCACTCTCTCTCGCTGAGAGATTCCAGCCCAGCAAGGACAGGCTGATTTCGATCTTCCCTCTTCAGAGCTAAACAACGCAGTAGGTGAGTGATGAGGAAATGGAAAGGCAAACCTCTAAAGAAACAAATACCAGAGTGTGGACATGTATGCATTTTTTTATAGACAAACAAGAAGCTTCACACAGGAATGGGATGAAATTAAGGCTGACCATGAAGAACAACTTCCCGAGAGATTTATCATCCTGTGGAATAGTCTAAGGAGAGAGAGGTGATGACAAAGTTCGCTTGAAATTATGCTGGGTAGAGGAGAAACTATGAAAACAGGCCCAAACGTGGCATGGAGACTGCAGAGATACCCAACAGGAGCCTCCTCTCTCACTTGTATTGCAGATTCTCATGATTTTCCAGTTGTTTCCAATGTGGCAGCTGCACTAAATGAAGAATCAGCTCCAGCTCTCCTGCTCCCCCTCCTCCTGCTCCTCCCTCACCTCCTCCTCCCCCTCCTCACCAATACAACCCATTTGCTGTTTCACCTTCATATACTGGAGCTCTATACCAAACTGGTGGTTTCAATTATTTGCCCATAATGATCCCCAAATTCTTTCCCTGATCAGCTTGTTGGATGCCAGTTCCATCTCACACATACTCCGGAGCTCAATCCCCACTTATTTTCCAGTTATCTGTATTGAACGGCATTTGACACCTCAATTATCCAAATTCTTTGGAATCCAGCCCTGCTGTTCCTTATTATAAGCCCAAATCCCAAGATGTTCCGGGCACCAACTCCTGTCAAAGCCAACAGCCACTGAGGAGACGCCAAGTCGCATCAGATACAGCTCAACTGCTCTGCCTCCAGTTTCTCTATTATCTAGTTTTTGAGGTTTTTTTAGGAAGTCTTGCTTCCAACACCATCTTCCAAACAATTTCTATAAATAGACAGAATAATGATACTAAAAGTGACCCCGGAAGGAGGCGAAGGTCACTTTGTGAGTGTTTACTCACCATATAAACTGGTTATGACCAGTCCTATGATTCTGGAAGGCATCGTATCTTTCACAAGAGATTTGGGAACCTCTTTCTCACATGTCCATATGACTGGTAGCACACTTGGGGAGGAGACAGCCAGGTCTGAGCTAAGCTAAAACAAAGACTGAGGCATCTCAACTCTATGGCCAAGTGCTTGCAGCACAAAGATAAACAGAGAGCTCAAGCTAAAGCCATTTCCATGGTCTTTAGTCCTCTAAACTATTCCCTCTATCGCTGACCAACAGTCTTGGATAGTCATGTTGTGGAAATCAGGCCCCTGACCTACATGACTGGCTTGTTTACAGATCTTTTTACCTTCCTCATCGCTGCTGTCAGACTCAAGTTGTTTGATTCGCTTCCTCTTTCTCTTCGTGTTCTCAGGATCTCTTTCCTCCTCGTTATCCGACCTGTCCACACGCTTCATTTTACTGCCACAAAACGGGGAAAAAAAGGGAAGGAACACCTGTTATCTCTTATGTGTGCACAAAAGCATCATGTGTCTTTGGATTCCTTATGGAAGGAACTCAAATACCTCTGTACCTCCTAAAAACATGAGCTGAACTATACACTGCCCTGCACAATCAGTGCACCACCATTTCCAAGCCTCTCATCCCAACCCATATCCAGCTCTCCAAAACAAGGAAGGTTTATTTAGCCCCTCTGCAGTTCAGCCCAGTACCTCACCTCGCCTGGCCACGGCACCAGCCTATTTCTGATCTTGTCTCTTTAGCTCAGGCTCCCGATGTCCCCAAAAGCATCACTCAGAAGCTCTTTTGACAGACTGCTTGCCACTGACTGACTATGAAGTAGTGTCTCAGAATCCTGGAGCCATTTTTAAAGACTACTGGAAAAATAAAATAGCTTCTTTCTTTTTAATGTTGGCGAGACACGTCAGACCAACAAGCCTGGAGGCTACAGGCCCACGTATCCTCAAAGAGCTGGGACAGCCCCAGTGGCCTTCCCAAATCCACGCTGCCAACACCTCCGGGTCCTTGGCTTTTTGCACAAGACTATCAATAAGACAAGCAGTTAGTGCTCAGTGTGATGGTGGGCTGGGTGGTGTGCTTACCTATTTAGTAAGAAATGGATTGAGACCACCAATTAATTACTCATAGGCCACCAGAGAGCCATCAGACTTAGTGATTCCTTGTCTCTGTCAGTTTGGGTTGGATTACACACAAAGGGCTGAACTTAAAATTTACCTGGAGCCTCAGCCCAAAGTAAACCAGGGGCACTGAAAGCAGCAGTGCATTAGCTATGGGAACCAACAAGCAGAACTTTGTGTGCTGGAAGCTGTGTACATATAAGCTTGGGAATATACCACCTTCCCTGCAGGACAGGTGCTCCTGCCAGCCCTCAGGTCTATCCTAAGTCCGCTCACAGTGTGAGGTTGTCTCATGGAAAGCCACCCCCTTCCACTGAAGACAACCTGGACCATGTCTCTTCTCACATGTAACGGCCCTGAGGCACCCACAGCACCAAGGGAAAAGGAGTTCTCGGAGAAATAATTTTAGCCAGGTTTAATGCAATTTAGCAGCTGGAAACAGGAGGTAAGCCAACATTGTAAAACCAGACAGCTCCACACAGACTATCAACAAGCAGGTTCACAGGTGACAGGGACCCTCAAAGCCATGACCTACCTTTTTCTGTCCTTTTGTTGAATTCTAGCAGACTCTGTTCTCTTCCCAGGTTTCTCTACTATAGGATTAGGGGATGACTCTTGTTCTGCCACAGCAACCGAAGGCTTGACTACTTCTTTCTCCTCCTTTGGCTGCTCAGGCACAGGGCTGACTTTGAGTTTATCTGCGAATAAACCATTCAAAAAGAACAAACACTGAGCATTCAGTATGAATGACAACTTATAGGGGAACTGGCTGGCTCTGTGCACCAAGAATACACAAAACACTCCAGATGATGTATTTAGGGATCTAGACTGCACTGGGGATTTAGCAATCCCCAATTTAGATTAGGGATCTAGATTGGCCAAGCTATGTCATACATGGAAAGAAGTGGGCATGATTAAATTTCCACCTGTTTTCCCATGGTTCTGCTGTTCCTGATGTCAAGCCACCGGTACTGCAGCAGTGGAAACTCTGTGGAAGAGGGCTGGGAGGCAGTGGCAGAAGCCCTTATAGTCCCCAGGTGCCAAGGCACTGCAGAAGGATTGGGAGCCCCTCTTCTAGACACGCCTTTGACACAACACTACATCCATTTTTAGACTCAGTTTATCCCTTCTGAATTTGACTTTTAGTTAAGCACAAACCTGCCCAGAAACAGGAGAATTAGGACCAATGAAGAGAACGAGAGGTGTGTGCAGTCTCCTTGCATAATATTAGAACCCATGATTAGTATTTTCAGTAGTACACCAGCTTGTTGTCCCACCCCAATACCAACATGACCAACAATCTCAGAATGGTTTGGGTTGGAAGGGACCTTAAAGATCCTCTTGGCAGAGAGGTTGAAATCAGCCTCTTTTATCTACACAGCACCACATACGAGGACAATTCTGCTTCAACAGGCTTCACTTAGTACCAGAGAAGAGACAGCAGGGGGGAGCAGACAGCAAAATAATGTATTTATCAATATAACCACCTAATGACAGTCTGTGAGCTTCATCCAGCAGCTTTCCACACTCCCACAAAAAGAGGGGAGCAGGTGAGACAGAAACCTCTGTTATCCCAAGCATGAGATGCCCAAGAAAAGGAGAAAATATTGAGCAGTGACATCAACTAGACCATCAGTAGGGTCAGAGGCTGCCGGGAGGGTCACGACTCCATTTCCAAACACTGCATTCTGGCAGTGCTTGGAAAACACTTGCTGCTTCCTGGAGCAAGGGGAAGCATCTCCTACACCAGCACCTGAATGACAGTTCTTGTCTATGATGAACAGCAGAAAGCCCAAGCACCCTATCACTGGTAACTCAGGACTTTCTGGCAATGGTGGAATCTTCGAAGCCAGGAGAGACGTACGCGTAGGGAATAAATCTTCCTCCTGGAATCCCCCTCTCTCTTCTATGCACATAATCATTTCCAGTTCTGCTCAGTTTGCTCCTTCCCTGTTCCCACCTCAAAGTTTTCTTGATGTGCTCCAGGACAGGACTCAGCAGAGAAGGGAACCCCTTTGAAAATTTTGGAAATGCATGCAACAAGAATTCCCCGCCTGCACTGGGTTACTTTTACCATGCCATTCCAACTGATTGGGTTTTCAGCACATGAACTTTGGTCTAGGGTTCTTCTAAGACCTTCAGAATTTACTCTGGTTAACTGTGGTGACTGTCCTTAGGCTGAGTGTCCTCAACTCCTGCAGGTTCACCAAAACAGGGACTCAAAGATCCCCAACAGGGCTTTGCCTTGTGTGCTCAGTGCTGGAACTGTCACCTGAAAACTCTGTCAGATGCCTGTTAGAAAGTTAACTTTGTTGTTTACTCTCTTCCAAAATTCTTCTTTGAAGCCTCCTGTACTCACTGTTGTAAGGGAATCTTTGAAGAAGGTCCTACAGTCCTTTTCCAACATCAATTTAAAAGCATCAGCATATTTTCTTTAGAATTGGACAATTCAGAAGGGACCTCCAGAGGCCACCTAGTCCAAAGCTCAGCTCAAAGGGGAAGGCCACCCTTCATTTTTACTCTCCAGTTATTAGTCCTTCAGTTTTTAGGAAAAAAATTAACCCAAAAACTAACTATGGACTCCTCAGTGCTGTGTGATGAAAAGCAAGCACTGTTAACATGCCCTGCAAAACAGGTTTTGGCAAATATCTCCCCACTAGTTGATCTTCCAGCCAGGAGTACTCACTTTAAATCAGATTTCTTCTGCACTAAAAAATCGTTCCTGGGTTAGTCTGCACAAATATGTCATTTTAATTGATCTCCATCCAGCAAGCTTTTTGTCTGAAAAACTCTACTGAAAACTCTTAATTTTTGTCCTTAAGAGCTGCATGCCAAAACATTAACCCCTTTAAGGCCAAAAGAGCAGAAGAATAGCATGGAAGACTATTGGGAAAGAGGGGATATAAAGAAAATCCAATGAGTTTGGCAGGGGAGGATTGAAAGGAAGAGTTCTGCTCTTTTCTATATGCCTCCCATTACAGCTCTATAACAAAACACCTGATTCCACTGAATATTTTTTACTTGTTACCCAGCTTAAATAAAATATATACATAATTTAAAAAAAAGAGATAAAGAGATTTCCCAGAACCATCAGAGGGTTTTTTTTTGTTTGTTTGGTGGTTTTTGTTTTTTTTGTTTGTTTGTTTTTTTAACACCAGGCTGTTCCCTGACCATCTCTGAAAACAGAAGAGCACTTACTCATAGCAGCTTTCCCAAAGAAGTTGTTGATGATGTTGTTTTTTGTTGGTGGTTTGCTGCTTGCTGTGGAGACCTAGGAGCAAACAGAGGAGTAACCACAGGAATTGTTCACAGCCCTCAAATGCACAGAACTGCTTCTGGACAAGCAAAATAAATAGGTATGATTTGTTCACCAGTGCCTTAGATTTTAGCATTTAGGAGAATTTGAAGATACTTGTTAGATACTACAGACATCAAAGGGGTGAGAGTGAGTTACTAAGGACTCCTTAGCCAGGCCCTCAAATCTAACTTGGGGCACATTCCCACCTCATGGTGTTGCTGAAATAAATGCTTGGGACTTGGGTCAGTTCCCAGGAAAGAACTGCTCTTTTTGCAAACTATCAGTGCCTGAATTCACAGCAACAGAGGAAAGAACATGGACTGACCACACCAGGAAGGTTTTATCCAGCTCCTCTGGCATGTAGGCTGTTTGCAAAGGAGTATCACTGCTCTCTTCCATCAGTACAGCCACCATCCAAGTGAAAAATCACACACACACACAAACCCAGGAAGCGTGGCCTCCTCACCCCAATAATTCCCATGCAAATAAAAGGCAACCAGACACTAAAGTTCCCAAAACACACATATTTCACCAGTTCTAAATTCACTGTAAAAATCAGAAAAAGGAACCAAAATGTACTCAGCTGTTATAAAAAAGCCAAACCATACACAGGGAACGTTACCATTTTAACACTCATTTTTCTGGCCAAATAGCTTTAAAAACAATTCTACTAATTAAAATTAAAATGTAATCCTATCCTGGAAAAACAGCAGTGGAGAAGATAAACAATTTAGTCTTGCACAGGTCAAGTTCTGAGACTTCCCTCGCAGCCTAAGTTTAAACACCTTGATACTTTTAAGACCTGAGCCTTCTCACATTTCACTTATTGCTCAAAACAAATCCTTTTAAGCACAATGGGGAGAGCAAGATCCTCAACTGGTTTATACATTGGGATAGCTGGAGACAACGGAATAATTGTCTCCATAAGGCAGCTATGCTGGTTTATACTCACCGGAGATTCGGCTCAAGAGGGAATGTCAAAATTACGGCAAATACACTTTTGAGGAGAGATCAAGAGTGTGGCATGAGGTATTTTTGCCCAAGGTGACTGCACATAGTTAAACACTTTCAGAGGGTCACTGAGCATTCCCAGTGGGATGTGAGTTTAGCAGGAGGAGCAGCACAAGGCGGTTGAGGTTACTGACGTGGTGTAAAAGCGGCTCATTAAAGCCATCAACCCAGGGGGGTCTGAGGTAACTTACACCTGGGGCCTCTGCTTTGGTCTCCTTATTTGTGTCCTGGGGTTTGGAAGCTGCTTTGGCTGCAAACATTCCCATGATCCCTTTGTGCTGCTGCGAGGGTTGTTTGGTAGCCGGCGGCCCGTGGCCATTGACGGCAGGAGCGCTGGGAGCATCCGTGTCATTTTCCCTCTGAGAACTGCCCTGCAGGGACGTCTGTGCTCTGGGAATGTCAGGCGGCATCCTGCGGACTGCGGCGTCACAGTGGATGGCGCTGAACCTGGGTGATGGAGGGAAAAATGTAATTAGCCTTTTCAACTCACGAGTTTTCAGCTCGTTTTTCCCCCTGTTTCTCCGGTGCTACGTTCTCCTGTTATGGAAAAAAGAGCAGTTTAATCTGTGTATGGGACAAGAAAGAAAGGCTGGCACAGAACAAGAGACCTCTGATGAAAAGATCAGCTGGACCTGTCAGCAGGAGGCAGAGCACTCCCATGCTAAACAAGTTGTTCAGCTTTCCTGGGGGAAAAGGACCTTCTCCATACCCAGGGTGGAAAGAGAGCAAGCTGCATTTTATTCCTAAATGGGTTAGAGTTTGTGGGATAAGTTGTATGGCTGTGTGAGGATCTGAAACATTTACAGCCTTCAGATGCTCTGAGAGAGGCCACAATGGCTGCAACTTCCCAGGTAAGTAAAACACAACTAAAACTGAATGAAGCACAGAGGATATTCTGACTTAACTATATAAAGTCATTTCCATGTGATCCCTGCTAGACAGAGGTGCAACTCAGCTTATAATAATTGATTGCCTGGGGATATGGAGATACAAGAACCAAATGACATGCTTGCAGTAACAGCACAACTCACTGACAGTCAGGAATAGCAGTTCCCAAAAATAACTGAACTCTGCTCCCCACTGTGCAAATCACAGGCAACGCTTTCCAGATTTCCCACAGAAATGCCACAAAAGAGCCCAGGCTCACACCTCCCAACCCACTGAATTACACAGCAGATTTCTATTTGCATAAGCAACAAACCAGTTCATTTCTGTGCCTCAGCACTGGGTGCTCACGTGCACAGGCCACTTCACTCAGATCAGGGTCTGTAATGCATTAAAAAATCAACACCATCTCTACGGCATTCCCAGGCTGCAGCAGCAACCTCTTGACATTCAAACCTTTAAAGGAAGGAAAAGAGACATTGAAGGAAAATATTCCTGCTCTCCTTTATACTTTTAACAGGGTTAATATGGCTCTCAGGACAGCTTGTGCTCCAAATCCAAACACCATCAAGCCTCCAGAATATAAATAATATTGTCAGCACCCTTCCAGGTTACAAATAATATTGTCAATAATATCGACTGTGCAGCAGAGCTCAGCTAAACTTCCCGTATTCCAAACGAGCTTGCCTTGATGCTGCTGTGTTACTATAGCTTATGGGTTTGACTCAAAATTCACTAGAAAATCACTGAAAATACAAGCAATGCTTGGACTATGCTCTGCCAACAAGGAGCTGCTTCCACTTGGAAAGCTGATGATGGCAACAGGCACTAAATCCAGTTACTGATATCAATTAGTACATCTAGTTACCTCCACTGTCCCCACAGCAAAGCAAGTCCTCTAGAAACACAGAAGAGAATAAAGATCCTTGTCCTAGAGCTGGACTCACAGGGAGGCTCTGTTTGCTACAAACCTCATATAAAAACCTCTGGATTTTGCAGGTCCTGCAGGAATCTTTTCCCAAGTGCTTAAGACAATCCAGATAGTTGACAAGCGAGACAGAACATGGTCAGTTGAATTTAGTTCAGCCAGGTCACAAATAAAGAAGCTGAATTTTTCTTAAGTTTGCTTAGGAAATTCTACTCCAAAGCCAGACAGGGCTTTACACCCAGGCTTTGGAGAGCTGTTTATCTAAATTGTCTAAACCTTCTGGATGTACAAATCCCAAATGCAGACTCCTCCAAGGCACAAGTATCACTAAACTGGGGTGTCTGAGAATAAACAGAGTGGAACGAGGCAAGTGCTGCCAAATCTCTGGCACATGGCTCCATTGACAGGGGGTTTTCCAGCACCTTGCAGGTCATTGCCTCTCATGCCCCAAACAGCTTCTAGAACAATATTTTCTCAGCCACTCTCTTGTCAACACATTGCAGACAGCTATGTTTGTCCTTTCAAATTCTATACTCTTCCTATGACACAGCATTCAGGCATCCCCCTTTTAAACCAGATTGGTCATGGCACTGTACATCCCCATGACTTCAAGCTGAAGCTGTCATGGTGGGAACAACATATAAATGAAAAGTTACAGCTGCCAGGGACTGCTCAGGAGGGGAGACAGTGACTCCTGGAGACTGCAGTCCTTCCCAATTCTTCTCTAGTTCAGCCACGAAGGACACTTGAGCTGCCTGGGCTGTTTTGTGTGCTCCTCCTACGCATCAGACTCTAAGAGATCACAGAATACTCTGGGTTGGAAGGGACCCACAAGGATCAAAGCTCAGCTCTTGGGGAATGAGTTCCTGTAAGACATCTTTGGAGAGGTGGATGAAAACACAGTTCCACAAAACAGAAAGCAAACTCATGTTTGCTGAGCACATCACTCATGGTTTTCTAAGTCTGTTTTGATTTACTTTTCCTGTGTGACTGAGAGCTGGATTAAAATGGTCATGATTAAGTGTGACCTGGAAATGAAAAAGAAGTTTCTAGCCATCAGAGGAGAAAGGTACTGGAACAGTAACCAGCAAGCGAACCAACTGTAACCTGGAAATAGCTCAGTTTACAAAACAGTCACCTATGTACTGTTTGGGGATTGGTCTGGCATGATTTGAGAAGGATATCTTTTTTTAGCTTTCTAGAAGTCCAGACCTATCTGGTAAGCAGTGACTGAAGAACAACACCAGTCCGGAATCACGGGGTTTAGGAAGAAAAAGCAAGATGGGACTCACTTGCTGCAGTTGTGCAGGTTTGTTTTGACAATGTCATAGTCAGTGTTGTAGAGTGGGGAGCTGTCCTTGAGCAAGGCCTTCTGAATGCTGTACACATGCACACTCGCAATCGTGGACAGCTTAGACTTCATTGCTGGGGGGAAAAGAGAGAAAAAAAGTCCTCTGTTAGCACAGCCTTTGGGATGGAGCAAGACTGACAGACTTTCTGAATATAAAAAGGTCTAGCTGCACCTCCCCCCAACACTCACTAATCAAGAATTCAGGGTAACATACTCCACAAGCCTGTCACGTTTTCCACTACACACTCTTGGTTCTTGCGCAACTGAAATAAGAGTGATCTCTGTGTTTACCTTCAAAATATACACTGTTTGGGATCCAGAATATCTGTGTGAGTACCTAAAGCTAAGGAGGAGTGTAGATGGTCATAGCTCTGCTGGAATTGTGCCATTAGTGCAGTGTCACAGTGTCATCCCTAGAAGAGTGCTGGAATCAAAATTTTATTTCTTTTATGCTATTTAGACTGTAATCCCCTTGAGACAAAGGCTGTTTTTTAGGAATTCTTTGTTCACTGCTTATATTGTTCTTTCCACAGAGTCCTGGTCTGAGGCTGAGCTTCGAGGCACTGTAAAAATACACACAGTAATCATTTCTTGGGGCTGGCCCTGAACTATGCAGCTCCCTCAAAAATCCCAGCCTTTTCCAAATACAAGTCATACCTTTTGCCTGCCTTCCAATAAAAGAAAACCATGAGCAACCCGTTCCTCCACACCAAAACAGAGTGTTACAGAACACACACAACTCAACAAACATGACAGGTAGTAGTGTTTGACAATCTCCTACCCTTCAGCTTTAGCTAGAAACCCACTTCAGATTTCCAGAAGGAAAAGAACTCGTCTTTCAAACAAGGTGACATCATTAGCACGGATATTTAAGGTCACAAATGCCACAGTGTATCCTCAAACGCCAAAGATGTCATCTGAAAGCAATGAAGGGCCTGAAGTTGTGTTTCAATTGCTATGGGTAAAGTTTCATCAGCAGGACCAGATTCCGGAAAGATGGTGAGGCAACTGCTAGGACATGGAACAATGTTACAATGGTGGGTTTTTTCAACTTTTACTGTGAAAGTTAATACAAAAGTGAGGTAAATGTCCCAGGAGAACATTCTAACAACCACAGGACTTGGGGCAAAGACTGCAATTGCATTAAACCAATAGCCAGAATTAGCATTCTTGGGGCCCTGAAGACTCACAATTATTCTGAGACACTACTTGGGTATTGCTGTCTTTAGGGACAGTCAGAGGAAAAGAATCACTGACAAAATGTTCGGCATCTAATAAAAAAATCGCAAGATCAAATCACAACCCTGAAGGTACTCAGCTGTTGGCTCAGACACTCCAAGTTCTGAGAAAAAGTTGGTACAAAAAGTACACACCTGACCCCAAGAGCCTGGCTGGGCACTGACGTGCAGATGGCAAGTTCTGAGCTTTGCTCATTTTGCTGTTCTTTCAAAGAAAAAAGTTAAATCCACGTCATTTTCACAATTTTCTTACCTTCCAGTTTATCCTCCCTCACTACTGCAACCTTGTGGCACTGGAAAAAATTAAACACATGGCAATCTTAAAATTCCAAAATATCTGCTGTGTGCAAGACTAATATTTTCAGTTATAAGAAAGTCTAGTGATTATTTGTGCAGCTTCACAGCTGCAAAGAACACTGCCTTTAAAAACTCATCAGCCACTAGTTTTTAAAGCTCTGTCATCCCACTTTTCAGTTTTACAGATCACCGGATCCCTAAAGAAAGGTTTTGTACTCCACTCAAGACACTGGGAGATGAGACGCAGATGAAACCAAACCTAAACACCTGTGCAGCAGAGGAAAAGCAAATTAAGAACAGCCAGAAATCTGCCTCACCAGCCCACACCACCCCTGGATATCTGGATTGCCAGGACACTTCAATCCACCAATCGGTAATCCAGGCATGGCACCAGAGAAGCTAAACAACATGAAAAATTAAGCATTAATTTCATTAAATTTACATCTAACCTAACCTAAATATCTAAGCTAAATTTAATTAAAAAGCCAGGAAGGAATGTTTCTGGAAATGGACAGTCTTCAAGGTCTATAGCTGCTCCAGGACATTTACCAGACTGTGGTTAATACAGAGAGGATCCAGACTGGGGGAAACCCAACCACCATTAATTGTGTTTAACAGATACCACAAACCTGCTTGAAGTCAGGGAAAAACCTGTTAAACTCAGGCTATCAACGTGTTATCAACCTGCCCAGCTTTAAATAAATATATCCCATTAGACAGAACTAATGCAATAAATAATTACCACAGTCTTCTTTTAGGAATGGTGAATCTCAGGGTGCCCTGGTTTTTATTTGTATATTGGAAAGCAACACCAACAAACCTTTTCTTTTTTGTTCTACTAAATAATAAACTGCTTCACATGCACAAAATATTGCCTTTAAATGTCCAAATCTGCCTGAAATGGAAGGTAATTATTTACTGTACTAATTCTGTATGATGGAATATATTTATTTAAAGGTGCACAAGTAGCATCACATTGACAGACTAGGTTTAACAGGTTTTTCCCTGATTTCTTTTGGAATTAATAAGCCTCTTAGCTCGCCAGAGCTGGAAGTCAGGCAGGAAGACCTGCCTGAAGTTTTAGATGACATTCCTGAAAATCTGACAAGAAGCAATGAGAAAAAATCAATCCACTAAGCAGCAATTCTTTTGTTTAGTAAGACAAAACACTTCAAATACAAAATATTATTTTTCAATCAGTACTAAGACGTTGCTTTAATTAGCCAGCAAAAGAGTAAGTAAATAAAGACTAGGAGTCTTGGCCCCTCACCGTGGCTGATAAAAAGCAGCAAGGAAAGGGTATGCAGTGCTTAATGGGAATTATTTGTGAAGGAATTCTATCCCTCTCTCCCTTCAGGAATCCTGCAGCTGAATCCACAGCATTCCAGCTACACCTACTGCCAGCAGGCAGTAGTGCAGGGATACCAGCAGGCACAGGAATCCACCTGGAGCTTCCACAGCCCTTTCCTACCCAAAATTGACTCAGACTGAGGAACTTTGAACTCTTCCTGTGGGTTATTCCTAATCCTGGCATTGCTTCACCTCTGCCCCCAACACCTTCCTGCACCTGCAGCTCACCCTTCTTAAGAGGCACTGATAGTGCAGCATTCAAAAATAAGAGATTTAAAAACAAAGGGGGGAAAAGTGGCCTTTATGTGTTTATGGATCTAATGGAAGATTCCCTGCCCAAGGCACGGGGTTGCAATTAGATCATCTTTAAGGTCCCTCACAACCCACACCATCCTGTGATCCTATGAACTTGTTTAACAAATATACAAGCTCCTAAGAGAGAGTTAAAAATAATTATTTGCTGCTATTTCAGAAGTAATTTGTTTGTTTTAAATACATTATGGCAAATTTAAATGTAATAGTACAGGTTGACAACTCACTGGCCAGTTCTAGTGAGCCAAGAGACTTGTTATTTCCAAAAGAAATCAGCAAAAAACCTGTTAAACTTAGGCTATAAACATCACATTACCTCTGCAGCTTTAAATAAATATATTCCATCATACAGAATTAATGCAATAAATAATTACCTTCCATTTCAGGCAGATTTGGACATTTAAAGACAATATTTTATGCGTGTGGACCAGTTTATTATTTAGGACAACAAAAAAAGGTTTGTTGAGGATTTTTTCTACAAATAGAAACCCTGGGATTTATCATTCCTGAAAGAAAACTGTGGATCATATTGTAATAGATACTTGTGTATTTAAAAATACTTAGTGGGATGTCAAAGTCATTTTGTGTTTGGCTCTTCAATTCTTCTGTGAGCAAAGGGAAACAGGCACCTAATTTCCTCATCTTCTTTTAAAAACTTCTGGAGTACCTGTCTCAAGTTTTAGACAACATTCCTGGAAATCTCACAAGCAGCAATATGGAAAAACAAATATATTAAGCAGGAATTCCTTCCTTAATAATTTTTAAATTATCAAATACTGTTAATAAATTTATGTTTGTTCACCACGATTAAAAAGCTGCTTTAATTAACAAGACAACTTCACCTATTAATTTGTTGTTCTGTTATTATTCCATTCTAAATGAGTTCCAAGCTCTCTCTGCACTTCCACCCCACAGCAGATGCCAGGAAATGGATGAGTTGATCTCAGAAGAGTCCTTCCAGAAGGTTTTATAATCTCTGCTGCTCAATAGGAGTGATGAGAGAGATGACTGGTAACAGGATTTACGTAATTAATTAAGAACTCTGGTGTGTTATTCAGCACTGTATTCCCAAGCCATGGCCAACTGATTCTTCCTCCACATCACCTGCACACTGGGACAGAGACTGTGCCTTACTTTGCACCTGTCCAGAAGACCTATCTGGAAGTATCTTACTGGAAAAAGAGCAAGTTCAGATCCAAAGATCACAAAACAAGATGGAAAAGACACGAGAACAAAGAGCGCACAGACACTTTTGAGAAGTGAAACACTCACCACGTGTCCATTCTGGCGGAGGTCTCCTGCTACTAAGTAGGTGACATGAAGCTGAGCTCCTGAGTTCTCCTTCCGTTTCCTCTCCACATAATCATACAGCATCCTGCACAAAGAAACCACTGTTAATCACCCACAAAGGAAAGAGCCTGTAGCCACCACTTCCATGAAGGTTACATAAAAAAAAAGTAAAGCCACCCTGACATGGAAACTTTTCACATTTATTAACAAGCACAGTTATTTTACCCAGGATTAAATTAATCTTCCTGAGACACCTTCCTCCTTGGCCACTTTAGAGAATCTCAGTCCAACAACAAAAGGTTTGTTGAGCATTTAGTAGTTAGTTTCAGGTGGTCTCACATCCTCTGGGCAGCTTGTCCCAAAGTCTCTCCTCAAATAAGGCATTTCTGAGACCCCTGACTGAGAAACTGGTGACTTTTTGGTCCATAATCACATGACCAGGTGTGTACGTACAATCCCAGTTACATCCATGGACGGGGTCATCAGGAACAGCAGGGAAGAGTGGGATTAGGGAGGATTGAGCTGAGCCTCAAGATTTCAGCTCCCACTCACACCACTGACCTATGATGACTGTCCCATGTACCTGGGCAGAGACACTGCCATCCATAGGGACACTGCCTGGGAAAAATACTGGAATATCGTTACCACTACAGAGACAGACTGCAAGGACCACACTGTCACATCCAGCACAATCCCTAAAATAATTCCCTTGTGTCACCAGGCATTTGCCAGCTTCTAGGAGAGAGTTTCAAGTACACAGATGCCACAGGAATTCTTCATGCCCAGGTTGCCTCTGCTTCACCAGGGCCACCTTCTTCCCAGTGAGGAGTTCTAATTTATGACGAGAATTGTTCCCAGCAGGACTCTCCAGTCAGGTCTGAAGCCCACTCAGATTTACACACCACCTAAATTGTTCACATGCACACAGAGGAAAGAGACAAAACAATCTCTTCCATTCCATGAGATGCCTAAGTTGATGTTCCAGTGGTTTGGGCAGGACAGAGCACAGCAAATGCTCCTTTAGGTCTGGGACACAGCCAGAGAAAAGGAGAGCAAATATTTGCATTATGGGGCTTGGCACTCTTTGGGAGCCTTCAAATCTTACACTTTCCCCTGCATTGTGGGAACAGCTCTGGAATCCCTGAGAGCCCATTCTTTGCTTTATAGGCCATTCAAGAGGTTACAGTCATTCTAATTCTCTAAAATATAAGACAAGGTTACACACTGAGGCTAAATTTGGAAAAGTGCAGCTGACTTCCCATCCTTCCCACATTTACCTATGCCCACAAAGCCTGGTGGAGAGCCAGGCTTGTGGAACAACACAACTGACTGTGCCTGAGAAGGGTTTTTTAATATTTCCAGAGGGATCATTTGAATATGCTCACCACAGTCATTAAAACAGGAATTAAAAGCAATTAACAAGGCTTCGGGGTACGTAGCAACACCTACTGTTTAGCCTGGTTGACATGGACTCCCAGAGTGTAGCTCAGCCATTTGTATGTCACCTGTAACAAGAAGTTAAAAAAACCAAAACAATAAAACCTTTCAGTATGAAAACCTCAGCCTCTCAACTGGTCAAATGCACTCTGTCAGACAAAACACACCAACTCTGCTGCACTGGCATCTAGGCACAACGCCATTTTTAAAATTTTTATTTATTTATTTATTCCCAAATAAATTTTGAAATAAATTTTGGAAGGAATGCACCCGTGCACAAGTTTATCGGTTTTCTGAACTGTCCTAAAAACAGGTAAGGAAGGGGGCAAGAGGAGGAAGAAGGAAATGGGGGAGAGGAGGAAAGAAGGGAAGGAGGAAAGGGGGGGAAGTAGGAGGAAGGAAGGGGAAAGGAACAGGAAGAAAGGGAAAAGGGGAGAAAGACGGAGCAGAAAGGGGAAGGGGAAGAAAGAAGGGGAAGAGAAGGAAAGAGGGAAGAGGAGGAAGAAAGGAAAAAGGAAGCAGAGAGATGGAAGAGAGAAGGAAGGAGGAGGAAGGGGGAAGAGAAGTAAAAGAGGGGGAAAGATGGCAAAGGGGGGAGAGGAGGAAAGAAGGGGGAAAGAGAAGGAAGGGGGGGCAGAGAAGGAATCCCCTGACTGCCCCCGCCGCCGAGACTCACGACGCGGTTCTGGTCGGTGACGAACTCGTCGATATTCTCCAGGTACAGCTCGTCCGCCATGGCAGGCCCGGCCGCGCCTTCCCGCGCACCTCAGCACCGCCCGCCCGCCGCCGCCATGGCAACCGCACCGGGCCGACGGCGGCCGGCAGGGGACACGGAGCCTCGGCAGAGCGGGCGGGGACACGGAGCACCAGGAGAGCGGGCGCGCACCGGGAGCGGGAGCGGGCGCGGACCGGGAGTGGGCGGGCACTAAGACCACGCGGGCGAAGGGAGCGGCGGAGCTTTAGGACCGCGCGGTCCTATGGCCCGCCCTCCCCGTCCTCCCGCCGTGCGCGGTCCTAGCGCCCGCCCGCATCCTGTGTCCGCCCGCTCCCTGTTCTCTCCAACAGGGATACGGCCCCCACGGGCTCCGCCAGCCCTCTCCCCGAGATCACAGAATCCCAGAATAGTCAGGGAGGGAAGGAACCTCTGGACATCACCCAGTGCAACCCTCCTGCCAAGGCAGGGTCACCCAAGTGACACGGGGACGTTTCCAGGTGGGTTTGGAATGTCTTCAGGGAGGGAGACTCCGCAGCCTCCCTGGGCAGCTGTTCCAGTGCTCTGCCACCCTCAGTGTAAAGAAGTTCTTCCTCATGTTGAGGTGGAACTTGTGTTTCAGTTTATGGCCACTGCCCCTCGTCCTGCCACTGGGCACCACTGGATAGGGTCTGGCACCGTCCTCTGACGCCCTGGATGTATTTGCGTGGACTGATGAGACGCCCTCTGTCTTTTCTCCAAACTAACCAGGCCCAGCTCCATCACTCATCTTAGAGGTCTTTTCTGCTACTGAGATTATGATTAAAAAAAATTAAAAATGATTAAGTGATCTGGGGGAAAACAACCCGTAACAGAGCGGATAACGAGCAGCAAGAACCAGGAGCTGTGACACAGTCGCTGCGGTCACGGGAGGGGGCAGGGATTTAACAGGACTTGCGAGGGGCCAAACAGCAGCGACTCTGTGAATGCACCGGCCTCACGTGGAGGCGTGGGCGCCGCGTTCCCAAAATAATTTCTCCTTATGCAATTCCCTCTGCGAGTCAGCAGGTGACAGCTGGGCACCACACTTGCCTGGCAGCCCTGGAGCCGCTCCTGCTGGGAATGCTGAGAGAATGTGTTGCTGTCCAGCTTGTGCAGACCAGAGCTCCTGCTGCCTCTTCCCTGCCAGCTTCCAGCACCCACCGTGTGCTCCATGCTGAGAGAGCCATGGCTGTGCCTGACAGCACCCCAGGCTTGTGCCAGTCTGAAGTGTCGATGGAGTGGTGGAACAAATCCAGGAGTCACAGAACCATTTGGGTTGGAAAAGCTCAGATCATTGAGTCCAACTGTTCCCCCAGCACTGCCAAGGCCACCACTGCCCCGTGTCCCCAAGAGTCACATCCACATGGCTTTCAAATCCCTCCAGAGATGGGCACTGCCCTGGGCAGTCTGTGCCAGGGCTGGACAACCCCTTCTATGAAGACAATGTAAGCCTTCCGTGGCACAGCTTGAGGCCGCATCCTTATGTCCTGTTACTGTTCCCTGTGAGCAGAGCCTGGTCCCCACCTGGCTCCACCCTCCTGTCAGGATTTGAGAGACCGAGAAGCCTCGTCTGAGGAAGGCTTCTCCTGAGCCCCACCTGGCTCCTCTTGAGCCTCCTCTTCTCCAGGCTGAGCCCCCTGCCATCCCCCTCAGCCACTCCAGCTGCTCCAGCCCCTTCCCCAGCTCCATTCCCTTATCTGGACACGCTCCAGCCCCACAATGTCCTTCTTGCTGTGAGGGGCCCAGAGCTGCCCCCAGGACTGGAGATGCCTCAGCAGTGCCCAGTGCAGGGGACAGGCACTGCCCTGGGCCTGTGGCCACCCCAGTGCTGACACAAACCACGTGCCCTTGGCCTCTTGCCCACCTGGACACACCTGGGCTCATGTTCAGCTGCAGTTGATCAGCACCTCCAGGGACTTTTCCAGTTTTCCAGCCACTCTGTCCCCAGTCTGGGGTGCTGCAGGGGGTTGTGGTCACCCAAGGGGAGTGCAGGCAGTGATGCCACCTGAGAGTGGCCACATTTATCAGGAGTGTCCCTTGCCCTGGGCAAAGTCGCTCACTCCATGAGAACTCCAGGCAGATGCAGATCCTCACTTGAACACAACAGTTTTTTAACCTGGTAAATGTCAAGGAAGGAAATTGCCCACGTTTAGTAAGTGTTAAAATAAACTCACGTGACGCACACGGCCCTGCAGTGCTGGGGTATTTCTCTAGTGCTCACAACAATGGCATTGCTCAGTTGGCACTGTGTTTGTTTTGCTGGTAAGAAAATGATATACATCCTCTTCCTCCTGTGTCCCAGGCACCTCCTCTCACACTCTTGTTCTCTCTTTTTCTTTGTTTTACTGTTGTTATTCTTGTACTGTGACATTCTGCTCTTGGCTTGACATTTCCTTCTTGTGTTCAGGTCTTAAATGAATTACTCATCTTTTTTTTTTTTTTAAGAGTCTCTCTTTTCATCTTTTGTTCTTTCTTCCTTTAAGTTTCCTGCTTTGAGCTTTCTGGAGGAGTTCCTGACGTGGGTGAATGTGGCTGAGAACTGTAAAATTACATTTTTCACCCTCAGGGCACAGTGTGTGCCTTGGTTCTGCAGGTTGGCTTTAAGGGTAAGAATTACTATAGGAGGTAAAAACCCTCCAGCAGAGGATTTCTTTCCTCTTTATTAAAATTCTGTGGAATCTGGTTCTGGTGTCACTCATATCTGCTTTATACTCTGAGGGACCTATATGGGCATAAGTTGAAATAAGGGAGGTTCGAACTGGGTGTCAGAAGAAGTTATTAGAATCCCAGAATAGTTTGGTTTGGGAGGGACATTAAGGATCATCCCGCTCCAAATACCCTCCAATGGACAGGGACACCTTCCACTAGACCATGATGCTCCAAGCCCCATCCAACCTGACCTTGAACGCTTCCAGGAATGGGGCAGCCACCCCTGCAAGGGTGACCTCTGGCAGGGGGTCTGGCCAGCAGCTGGGGACGGACCGGAGGTGAGAGAATCTTCACTACTACTGATGCAAGTCCAACAATTCATCCAAGCTCTGCGATTGGAAACAGCTCCTTCTGGCACAGGAAGCTTGGAGGAGCTTGGAGCCTGCCACGTTGGCTACAAGGTGGGCCAAAAAATGACGACTGCCAGGAGAAGTGCAATCAGCCAGAAACACGCACGGGCTCTGACCTGTCTCCCCAGGCCAGCAAGGAGCTTCCTTAAGTACTTCCTTAATGCACCCTGTGGTGCACAGCCCTCGGCACAGCCTGACACGTGCATTTCCTTGTTTTTCTTCCCCTCTGGCACAGCTTTGGGAACATGCTTTGAGTCAATGAATAGCTTGAAGGGGCAGAAGTGGTTCTGCCAGTGGGACACATCCACCAAGATCCTGCCCAAATGAGCTGGGGTTCTCAGCCTGAGAGGTTCCCTCACAACAGCCCTAGGGAAAGGGGTTTTTTTTGAATAACATGTAGTGAAAATGTCCTTCTAAATAACTGCAGGGCTGGTAGCTGGTGCTTGCAGGACTTGATTGATGCTGGCGTTCTCTGTAGGGAGGTTGGTTGATGCTTCTTAGGTATCACATGGGGACCTGGTGTAATTGGATCAAGGAAAAATCAATCCATAGCTTAAGGCTTCCCAGCACCACCCCCTTTTGCACCAAGCCAGGAGGCTTCTCCATCACCCAAAGTCTTGGAGACCCAGTTGGATATCAGGAATGACCAGCCAGGACCAAACCCCATCAGGGTGAAGGGTGACTTCTGAGCTCCTTTCAGCCCTATGGGAGAAGGGAGGCAGGCAGTGATGATTCCAGAAACATGACCAGAGGTGCTGCTTTGGGATAAGCTGCTTCTCCAGAGCCTGTGGGCCCCTAGCAGGGCTGGGCTCCAGCCCATGCATTGAACTCCTACCCATTTCCAATAATCCACGTCATTAGTACATGGAAACAGTGCATACAGCCCTTGAGTACAATTTCCTTGGGAAAAAACCTGAGATTTTGCTGAAAGGCTTGCGGGGAGGGGGCTACTGTACCAATCTGGGCACTCCACTCCCAGCTCTGCCCGTGATGCCAACACAGCTCTTGTCACCTCTCTGTAACACCCCAGCCTTGCCAAAATCAACAGGAATTTTGTCCCAGACTTCACTGGAGCCAAGACGGTGCCCTTTGCATCCATCTGCAGCTCCCTGTGAGCTCTGACAGACCTTCTTGCCAGGCACCTGTTTCATATCCACCACCTCTGTCCTCCCCTCCCCTTCCTGCTATTAAGCCCTGACTTGCATTACCTCAAAAGGTTCCCTGCCAGAAAAACTCTTCAATCCAAGGAACTGGTGAGGATTGAAGAGGGTTGGCTAATGTTTAAGGTACTCAAAGGAAAAGCTATGAGAGAACAGCAAACAATACGAAGACAAACACCCCCCCACCATCACCACTTTAAAAGCACTCGAACTGTGACAGAAGGATAAAACGTGAGCCATCTGTGGTTCCCTTCCATACAAATTTCCTCCCTGCTTCAAAAGCAGGATACTGACAGTAATTACCCCAGTGACACAACCACGGTCCCCTCTGTCGTCTTGTTTACGAGGATCCCAGACCTGTGACACACAACCCTCCTCATCCTACGCAGGCAGTGCTGCCACCAGCCAAAAAGGAAGAGCCCTTGGCTTTGATCTCCAGGCAAAAAGTTGAGGTTTAATCATAAAAAAAAGGAAATAACGCGCTACACACACACAATGTCGGTGCAAAATATGAGTCTCTCCTGCCAAGGGCAGAGACCCAGAGCAGTTCTCCTGAGGTTAGCTGAGGTGATGATCCCACCCTGGGTGGGATTCCCAAGATGGATGCTGCTCCATGCACTGATATGACCACCTGGTGAGGTTTATGGTGTCTTTCTCCCCAATTTTTTCCCCTTTTCATCAAGAAAATGACTGCACACAGGGAACACCTTCCTTTCCTTGCCAGCAACACAGAAATTAACCTTGTCAGACAACAGACCTGTGGCGACAAAGGGCAGATTATCAGCCCAGTTTTTTGATAAAAACAGGGGTTGGTTAACACAGTCAATTGCTCTATAAAATCAAAACATACTTTCACACGCTTAATCTCATTGATAAGGTGGAAGTTCTGCAGGCTGGGAACAGTTTGCTCAGGGTTTAATGTTTGACTCATTAGAAGTTTGACCAGATTTGTGTATTTTCTACATTTGGAATAAAAAGCTGAGACGAGAACATTTTATCTCTTTCCCACTCCCCGGGTGACCAAATGCAGCTCACACCAGCACCTGGGCAATACAAGGACTTCATTTATACTCCATGACCTTGAGGTGCAACCCCAGAATCACAGAATGTTAAAGGTTGGAAGGGACTGTAAAGATCTAGTCCCACTCCCCTGCCTTGGGCAGGGACACCTCCCACTAGTCCTGGTTGCTCAATGCAACCTGACCTTGAACACTACCAGAGTTGGGGCATCCACAGCTATCCTTATTTAAGCCCCAAATCCTAATTTTACCCCACTTTGAGCAAGTCTGTGATTGTCCAGCCCCAACAGGACATGTGTTGCCATGCTCTGCCCTCACTCCCTGCCTTGTCACTGCTGTGTTGTGCCCCGCTCACCCCATCCCACACCCTAAGGCCCTATGTCCCACACCCCATGGTGACAGGGGCCCTTCTCTGCTCCCTGTGCCCTTCCTGCAGCCCTGGGCCCTATCAGCCACCCCCAGGCCCCTGAACTTCGCCCTGTGCCTTATCCCTCATCCTCAGGCCCTGTCCTCTATCTCTAACCTCTGTCCCTGGGAAGAGCTCCCTGTCCCCAGTCTCCTATCCTGTCTTCTGTACCCCACTGCAGGACCCACTACCCTCTCTCAGACCATGTCGCATGTCCCCAGGCCCTGTGTCTCACTTTCCAACCCCAAACCACCATCCTCCACCTTCCTGCACCCTCTCTCATCCTTCATCTCTGTCCCTGTCCCCCATGTCTGTCCCCTCTCCCCGCACTCCCGTCCTCTATTCTTTCCCCATCCCCTACCCCTGTTCCCCATCCATCTCTGTCCCCTCTGCCCTGTTCTCCCATCCCCACTGCCTCTCCCTTTGCCTGTCCCTGTGCCTACGCTCCTGTCCCATCCCCGCCTCTTGTCCCATCCCCGCCTCCTGTTCTCATCCCCGCCTCTTGTCCCATCCCCGCCTCCTGTCCCCGTCCCGCTGCCTTTCCCCATCCACCTGCCTGTTCCTGTCTCCCTGCCCATATCCCCATACCCTCCTCACCGTCCTCCGACGCTCCGTCTCTCCCTCCTCTCTCTCTCCCTCCTCTCCGCTCGCCCCGCCCGGCGGCTCCCGGCGGCCCCGGCGGCCGCGGGGGCCGGTCCTTTATGTCGCCATGTCCGGGGCCCCGGTGCGGGTGCTGCTGCTGGGGCCGGTGCCGTACGCGGAGGCGCTGCGGGTGCAGGAGCGCTGCGTGGCGGCGGCGCGGGCGGCGCGGGGCCCGGCCCCCGGCCCCGGGGCCCGGGCGGTGCGGGGCCCGGCTGTCCTCCCCGGTGACAGCGCGGTGCGGGGCCCGGCGGCGCTCCCCGGTGACAGCGCGGTGCGGGGCGGCCCCGGCGCGGTGCCCGCGGAGAGCGTGGTGCTGAGCGAGCCGGCGCACCCCGTGTACACGTGGGGCTTGCGGGGCGCGCCGGACGCGGCGGCGGCGGCGGCGCTGCGGGCGCGGGGCGCGGGGCTGGTGGCGGCGCGGCGCGGCGGCCACATCACGTTCCACGGCCCCGGGCAGCTCCTCGCCTTCCCCGTGCTCGACCTGCGCCGCCGCCGCCTCCCGCTCCGCGGGTACGTGGCCGGGCTGGAGGCGCTGGTGCTGCGGCTCTGCCGCCGGCTCGGCCTGGGAGCCGCCCGCGCCCTCCCGCCGCCCTTCACCGGAGTGTGGATGGGCGACAGCAAGCTGTGTGCCATCGGTGAGCGGGGACACGGGGCAGGGACACGGGTGTGCACGGTCGCACCTCTGCTCTGCAGACAAGCCGAGAGATGGGGGTGTTCAGCCTGGAGAAGAGAATGTTCCAGGGATAACTTAGAGCTCCTTCCAGTGCCTGAAAGGGCTTCAAGAGAGCAGGAGAGGGACTTGGTGAACAAGAGCCTGGAGTGACAGGACGAGGGGGAATGGCTTCCCACTGCCAGAGGGAAGGATTAGATGGGATATTGGGAAGAAATATCTTCTGTGCCCAGTTCTGGGATATTGGGAGGAAAAAGCTGTATGCAGTTCTGGGCTCCTCAGTACAAGACAGACAAGCTACTGGAGAGGGTGCAGTGGAAGCCATGAAGATGATTAAAGGACTGGAGCATCTCTTATGATGAGACTTGGGGATCTGGGCCTGGTTAGTTTGGAGAAGACAAGACTGAGGGATCTCATCAGTCCATACAGAGTATCTCCAAGAGGTGTCAGAGGATGGTAGCAGGTGCTGTTCAGTGGTGCCCAGTGACAGGATGAGGGGCAATGACCATAAACTGAAACACAACAAATTCCACCTCAAACTGAGGAAAAACTTCTTCCCATGGAGGGTGGCAGAGCAGTGGAACAACTGCCAAGGGAAGGCGTCCCTACTCTGCACCCTGCACTTATTAGGCCATGGCTGGGTGCATGCAGCCTGGTCCCCAGCCCTGCCCCCTTCCCCTGGCCCCCTCCACAGCCCCACATCCTGCACCCCTTCCTGCAGCCCAGCACCCCCAGCTGGGCTCTGCCACCCGGGGTTGGGTTCCTGCAGGCCAGACCCCCTTTTGCAGCACAGCCCTGTGTCCAAGCCCATGGAAACTCCAGCAATGGGACATGCTGGGGGATGCACCCCATCTGTCCCAAATTTGGGGAGCCTGCCTCTAGGTTAGGGGTTTTCCCTGGCATAATTGGGGAGCACAGCATGCGGAGGGGAGGATATTTATAATGACCTGGGCTGTGTAGTCACTAAATATCTCACACTGGGACATCCCTGGCAGTGGGTGCTGATGGGTGGGTGCTTTTGGCCCCTGCAGGTGTGCATTGTGGCAACCACATCACCTCGCATGGACTGGCACTGAACTGCTGCACCGACCTCACCTGGTTTGACCACATCGTCCCCTGCGGGCTGGAGGGGAAGGGTGTCACCTCGCTGAGCCACGAGCTGGGCCGGCATATCACCGTCGACCATGTCCTGGAGCCCTTCTTTGACTCCTTCCAGGAGGTGTTTGACTGCACTTTGGACTTCTCGGAAGACCCCGGGAACTAGGAGTGTCGTGGTGCCTTGGCCTGGTGTTTTGGCAAAGCCACAGCACGGTTGATGGACATCGTGGCCGCTGCCTGGGGCTTTGTTGTGAGACAGGAGCTCTTGTGCCTTTGCCTGTAGACTCTGCCTGGACAGTGGCACAGAGGTTTAGGCTGCTGCTTAAACATCCAAACGTCTCCTGGGGCTGTTCTCCCCAGGCCCCCGGGACTCCATCCTTCAGCTGAGTCCTCCAAGGGCATCACATCCCTGTGTCACTTGCTGGGGAAATACCCAAACAGGTGCTTTTGTGTTTTTTTTTCTGCTGCTCTCCCTGCAAAAATCCCAAAACGGGTGAACACTCATGGGCCCTTTGGATCAGAGGAAGAGGGACTGGTGGGTCGAGCATCCTTCCCCTGCTGATGGGTAAAAAGAGGCAGATTTTATATAAAGAGAGTTGCTGGGAACTTTTGCTGCCAATCCTTTGCTCGTTTATTTACCTCAAGACTTACCTTTTTCTCACCCTGATCCGGGAGAAATTCTCACCCTGGGGCCAGGGAGAGTGATGTGAATGCAGTGGGAAAAGCAGGAGGAGAAAGGAAAGGGGTTGGGGTGCCCGAGGAGAGAAACCATGGCTGTCATGGACCCTGTAGGACCATGCAGAATCCCAGGTGGGTGATGGGGACCTGCTCCCACTGGGTCCGTGGTGCTGTAGGAGACATTGCTGGGGTCTGCTGTCCCAGCCACGGCATCATAAAGTGACTTTAATCAACAGGGATAAGAAAGTCCCCTGAGACTAAAGTCTCCACACCCCGCTCAGACAAGACCTGACCCCCACCCACAGCCCCTCACTGCTGCTCTGGGCCTTCTTTCTTCCTCACAAGCCTTGGAATTTCTCTGCATCTGCCCTCAGGGTTTTGGGGGGACAAAGGGTGCAACTGGGAGCAATGGGGCTAGAAACGGGAAAATCCTATTTCATGGAGCAGGCTCAGCTCTGGGAGGGAATGGTGAGCAGGGAAGAACATGCCCAGGCAGGCTCGGTGCCAGTGTCAGGGCTTGGGGACAGTGGAGACGGACGAGGAGGGACAGGAAAACGTCACCGGCAGCTTGTGCCGGGGGGGAAATGCAGAATCCAGCTCTCCCGGCCCCATAAGGCCCCGGTATCTGGCTGGGGCGAGGGGGCTGTGGCAGGATCCGTGGGGTTGGGGACAGGTTGGTGGCCCGTGGCAGGACTGGGTGGCTGTGGCAGGTGGCTCTGCCCCGGGAAGGGGAGGAGACTGGCGGCACTCCCAGCCCGGCCGCATCCCTTCCCACCGCCCGCGATGCTCAGTCTGGCTCAGCCTGGCAGCAGCGCAGGCAGGGAGGGCACCCCGGGTGAGTGCGATCTCCCCTTCCCACTTCCTGGCCCCCCTTCCCCTTCCTGGACCCACACCCTCCCTATGGTGGGTCCCTCCATGCTGCACCCCATCTGCAGGTACCCTCCTGCAGGTCTTGCCCTAAATTTTTCAGGTTCAGCCTCCTCCTGCTTCAAACTTTTCTCCAAGTCAGAAAGGCAGCCAGATCTGAGCCCATTGTGGCTGCTCAGCCCCTTCCTCCTCCTCTTTGGTATTGGGGTCTCCTCCTGAGAGGTGCATGCTGAGTTTGGGGTGACCTTTTTGGGGGGGATCAGCTGCATATGCATAGAGTAGAGCTGCTGGTGCTCAGGAGCAGGAGGAAAAAGGGTGGATACCTGGGGTGCGACAGTGGTTTGTGGGGACAGCGTGTCCCAAAGGATGGCACACGTGGGGGACTGTGTCCTGGTGTCCCTTCCTGCCCCAGGCAAGGGAAGGTACACAAAGGCACAGAGGGGGCACATGGAGGTCCAGGGGGTGCTGACAGAGGGGTACAATATCCAAAGGGGAGGCAGGTCAGAGGGGGTCTGGGACCCCTACAAAGGGGGGTTTTAGGCCAGTGACATGTCTACAGGGGTGTATGGGGAGCTGTACCAGTTCTGTATCCTGTAAGGGTACAGGATACATGCCTGCCATCCCTACACATTCCCAAGGAAAGCAGACTTTGAACCCAACCATCCTGGCCCCCTGGGTCAGCTTTGTCCCATTGTCCTCAATGGACACATGAGAGGGGGTCAGGCAGCTGCCTCAGAGCCCTGGGAGCTTTATTCCCTCTGTAGAAGGAATGAAATTTAAAGACGGGGCTGCCAGGAATGCAAAGGGTTTGGACACCCCTGCTTTGTAGCAGAGGAGGTGCTTTGGGGATCATTTTTGGGGTCATTGTTGCGTCCAGCAGGACCATCGTCCCGGGAGCTGCCCCATCACGAGGGTGGCCTGTTACGAGTCTCCCTGTCCTTCCCTGCAGCCTGGAGGAGGACATGGAAGAGAACAACCAGACGGAGACCTGGCACCAAAGCCTGCAGGCTGTCCTTAATACCTTAAACCAGACACTGCATGGGGTCATCCTCTGCCCCTCTGACCGCTCTGCCACCACTGCTGCTACCACACAGGACACCCGCACCGGCCACCCCGGCCGGAACGACAATGCCTACATGTACATCCTCTTCGTCATGACGCTCTTCGCTGCCACGGTGGGCAGCCTCATCCTGGGCTACACCCGCTCCCGGAAAGTGGACAAGCGCAGTGACCCATACCACGTCTACATCAAGAACAGGGTCTCCATGATCTGAGCCTGGCCCTAACGCCTTGTCCCCACGGAGCCAGTGGGTTTGGGGTCACGTTGCTGCGCACATGCCACTGTCTGTGGGATGTGGCAGTGCTGCTGGCCTCAAATCTCCTGGGAACCCCCACTGCAGAGATGCTCAGCCCCAGTGTGAGCAGCACCAGGACATCCTCACCAGGATACAGCTCCTGGCTGGCAGGAGCTGGCAGAATGCAACCCACAGGCACGTCCTGGTCACACAGATCCACCGCGGCTGAGCCTCGTGGGGACAGGGATAGTAAAGACATCTCCTTTCCCACCTGGTGAGGCTGACAGAGGTCTTCCAGGATGAAAATTCCCCATTTTCTGATGCCTACTGGATCAGCCAACGTTGACCTCCATGGGCTCCCAGCAGCTGTGTGACATGGGCTTTTCTGGTGCTGAAACCCTGTAATTTTTGAGCTGGGCTAGGCCCTGTTCTTCCGGCAGGGAATTAAAGGAGGTGATGGGTTCCAGGTGGGGTTGTGTTTGCTTCTTCTCCGAGCAGAGTTGCTGTTGGGGGCATTCTGTGGGGCACCGCTCTGTGCCAGGGCCCGGGGGATGCTGGAAGGGCTAAACTTGCTCCCTGTGTGCTGCCAAGGTGGATTCAAGGGCAATCCCTGGGTGACGTCACAGCCCCTATGATGGGAAAATTCCTGCAGGATGAAGCAAGCCCTACCACCCAAGGAGCTGCTTTGTCTCTGCTGCTGTCTGGAGAGCATTGTTGGAGCCCTGGGCACTCTGTGAGCATGGCCCGAGTTTAGCTGGAGTCGTGTGGCTCCACGCATCTCCAGGTCTCCAATTTCCGGACGGTGATGCTGGAGTTTTTCCTGCTTCCTTCCTGCTGTCAGCTGTAGCTTTGGCCTTTTGTACTGCAGGTCCCAAATGTGTTTTCCATGGGGTCAGGGCGCAGTGATGGACGGGAAAGGGATGTTCTTGGGTCCTGCTCAGCTCCTTGGCTTTGACTCTGCTATTAAGCTGGCTGGGTTTGGATCTGGCCTGTGGAGTGGCCGGTGTCCAGGACAGTGAATGTCCCTGTCCTTCAAAACAGGCTGTGGGGCAGCACCAGTGACCCAGTCTCCCACAGGTCTTAACCTGTTCATAATGGCATAATGAATGTCTTTAATTGCAGCTAGATTAGCTGGCCCACAGGAGCCTTTCCGCCGGCATTCCAAGGTTAAACACGGCTGCAATCCTGAGCCCAAACAGTGACGCCAAACCCTAATCCAAAAAATAATAGTGGATGTGAGCGTGTTTGGGGTAGGGCTGGAAACCTTGGCACCAGAGGCACTGATATGGCAGCAGCTCAGCCACTAATTCCTGATTTTCCATGCCCTCAGCTTGGGCATAAAACCTGAAGCAGGGGTTTTGGGGAGCTCACTTTGGGGCTGATCCCACTGGGATTCTTGAGTCAGCAGGGCTTTCTGGGGGTCCAAGTGCAACCACTGTCCTCCGGCACCTGGCCCAAGCAGGAAGTACCTGGAGAGGCTTTGTTGTGTTTATCTTTCAGTTGCAGCGCTGGGAAAGGAAAATAAACCTTCTATCTGCAAATAAATCGGGGGAACTGGGCCAGGTGGGAACAAGAGACACACAACCCGCTCTTGGGTTTCCTCCACCTCTGTGGTGTTTGTCCTCCTCCAGTGGGAAGAGCCATGGAGCAGCCTTGTGTGCCAGGGCCAGGAAGATGGGGCCCTGGGAGGGGAAGGGTGCTGGATGGTGAGTGTGGCACCCTAAATCCCCCCTGGTAATCTGGTCTTTTTGCTTTTCCCACTTCTGGGAGAAAGAGATGAATCTGATGAGTCTGGAGTCTCTTCTTCTGCTATGTCCTAAGGGGAGTTAAAGAGTGGCATATCATAAAAATGATTTTCCCTAATCCAGCAGAGTCTAAAGGGGAATATCACTCCTACAAGACATAGCTTCTGCAGCGATCATTATTCACCTATTCAGATTTCTGATCTATCGGCAGCTCCTCCTGTTCACCCCTGCAGTTAAATTTGGACCAGAGCCTTTGGCAGGCGTTCCCCAACCCTGGAGCTGCTGGCTGGATGCCACCAGGCTGGGTGATGAGAGGCCAGTGCCACCTTGTGGCAGCTGTCTCAGGGTCCCAGTGCCACATGGTCCTCTTTCCCAGGACACTCTGGCACCCCTGGAACAAGAGCAGATGGACTTGTGTCCACGGGACCATCGGCTCCTGTTTGTCTGCCGTTGTCCCCATGGAACCCACATCTCCAGCTTCGCTCATGTCCCCTTGGGATCTGTGGCTCTGGCTGGTTGGGTGTCCCCATGGCTCATGTGCCCTTGGGAGTGGTGGCTCTGGGATGGTTTGGTGTCCTCGTGGCACCCACAGCTCCAGGCTGGTTTGTGTCCCTCCTGCAGGGCTGGTTTGGTGTCCCCTTGGCATCCACGGCTTCAGTCTGGCTGGTGTCCCCTTGGGATCCATGGCTGTGGGGCTATAGTGCCCTGGGGACAGTTGCATCCAGTTGCAGTGTTCCCATCTTGCAGAGCTCTGGAGCAAGGCACTCCACCACGTGGCTGTGTGGCACACTGGGAGAACTCAGACATCCTGGTCTCACTGCATGCAAAGAGCGGGGAGGTGAAACCAGTGCACACCAAACACTGTGTCAGAGCCTTTCCAGGATGATCTCCTAGGAATTTTCAGCTTCACTTCCCTTTCTCGGCCCTATCATCTCTCTCCTCCCATGCAGGCTCCCATCTCAGCCTCGTCTTTCCCAGACTCCTGCTCTGGGCAGAAGTGGTGGCCCTACTGCCAGCCAGGCGGAAGCATTTGGGGCTTGGAGCGAGCTCCCAGGGTCTGGCTAAGTGATGCTCCACAGCAAACCCTATGACACGTAGCAGAGAAAGCCATGACAACTCACTCACATGACAACCCCAGCAGCCTGGTTTGGAGTTCCAGTGGGAACACTACATTGGGGAGTACCATTCCTAAAGCATCAAAGGAGCATCTTTGTCAAGAATATAAGCAAAGCCCAGTCTTGTAAAGATTTTTCACAACTTGCAAAAAATAGAAGAGATAATCAACTGCAAAGCATTTGCTATGTTATACAGGTTAAAATAGGAGGGGTTAATAAATGAATGAATTAGAGGAAGAAAAAAAGAAATAAATTCCCAGCAAACTTACTGTACTGGTGGACTCATCTGGATGGGTTTCCCAAATACCCATGGCTTAGGATCTCCTGGGACATCACTGGGAGAGGCTTGGGCAAGCTGCCCCTTCCTCTGAGTCCTTAGTTTGGGTTCCCCACCTGCCATTGGGTCCCTTGTGGAGACAGCTGATGTCTCTCCTTCTTCTGCTGGGCAGGTATGGTGGGGTGTTCCTTGGACTCCCTCACCTGCCTTTGCCTCACTGTCCTCATTTGTGGGTGTGCAGCCAAGCTCCTTCATGGGTAACCCAGCAGATCCACTCTCAAATCCAGTTTGGGAGTTGCTGTTGAGGTTTTCAGCTTCTTCTGAAAACAAGCACCAGCAACTTTTTTGCTTTCTCCGGTTCCTCTTCCACCTTTTGTGAGGTGAGGTGCTTCGTGTCTGGTCCTACAAGAGACCCAGCACAGTGGTGTGGTCATGGCAACAAAGCTCTACCTACCATAACCCAGGGAAATGATGAGAAGATGAGAGGGTTCCCATTCCCAGCAGGACTAGCAAGAGCTTGCAAGGGAAACAGGGAACCCTTGGGAGGTCAGAGCAAAGTGTCTAGTGGGGGTGACTGAGCTGTGATCACTCACTGGTTTTGTCTGGGGGTGCCACCAGCCCCTCACTGAGCACCTTTGGGTCTGCCTGACTGGGAGGGCAGGGCAGACTTTCCTGGGGAAACCTCTGTGTGAGGCTGCAGGTTACAGAGCCTGAGCTCTGCAGTGCTCCCTTGCCTTTGTCCAGAAGGCACGTCCCATCTGCCCTCCCAGGCACTTCCAGTACCTCTTCCCTGCCTTTCCACCTAAGCAGTGAGTAACGTTTCTCCTGCACACTCCAAGCCAGCAGTTCAAAGCTCGAAGTAGTTTTCCCTTAGCATTGCTAGAGGTGAGATGGGGCACGTGCAACAGCAACAAACCTCCTTGCTATTTGAGACTGATGTACCTACACCCTTCACACACTTTTTCCTTTTAACGAGAAAAAAGTGTTAGCAAGTCTCCTGTGCTCCCCTGCCTTCGCTATAGTTGAAGGTGGTGAACCTTTCACAGGGAACTCCTAAGAACTGCCAACTGCAGAGATTAAAATAAAGTTATCTAGGACTGTGCTGGGCCATCAAAGCAACAGAAGACTGGGACTTCCCAGTCCCAGAGACATCTGTCTATCTTCCTGCTCTCATTTAATGAAAAGGGGACATTTGGGGAATCTGAGCAATATTTGATAGTAACTCACATCTGCTGACATGGAAAAGTTCTGTACTTGGGCAAATGTTACTACTTCTTCAATAGGCTGAAGAAACCTAGAGAAGAAAGAGGAAATTCTAAAAGGGTCTGGGAAGGTAAGAGGGCTGGTTCTTGGGAAGAGAGGGAGTAGACTAGAGCTGAGCAGGGAAAGGACAGTACTGAAGTAGTAGGGCAAGAGCAGAGGTAACCTCAGGGCGGACAGGCAAATGCAAAGTTCTCTAGGCAGACCAGCAATGGCAGAAGATTCCAAGTCTTTTTGTATTCAGAGGGGAACAAGACACAAAAATCCTCTTCTGCCCTGTTCTGTGTTCTCATGTCAACTGTTTCTTTTGACAGGGACCAGGCTCAGCTCAGCAACCTTCTCCAAGTTTTACAAAGCTCTTTGTACGTTACCTTCTCTGGAGCTCGTGGTGGCTGAGGTGACGTGGATTCTCTGGAGTGACAAAGCCTTTGAAGTTAGTGAGAAAGAGAGTAAGTAGAGACCTCTTGTCCTAAAATCCAGAGTTCTTTGTTCCTCTCCTTTTATTTATTCACCTGTGATATTTCCTGCATGCTGGTGGAAAAGGCAATCTGAAATTCCTTCTGTCATGAGGTCTATTCTTTATCCTTTCCTCTGCCTTCTGGATGGACACATTCTGCAGTTAATATATTTCTTTGCTCTTTCCTTGATTTCTGGACTAATAACCTATTGTAAGCAGAGCAGTTTGAGCCACTAAACAGTGAAACCTGAAGAGGTTTAAGGAAAAGGATACAATGCAGGTGACCCAAAGTTGCCATTATTTAACAGGGAAATTAAAAAAGGATGACTGGAGGCTGTGACACAAATTCCAGTAAAATCAAACCCACTGAGGTGTGCTGCCTGCTGGAGGCTCAGCTGATTCAACTTTTCCTGCCTACTTGTTTTCCAAGTCCTTGGGGAGCATTTCACCATATATTCAGTTTCCTTCTCAACCACCAAAGCTAACTTCTGCTCTTTGAAATGACACCTTTGCACTGTTTTCATGATCTTGCTGCCAGAATCATGGAGGTGAGGCCCTTCCTCTCCCCCTCCTGCAGCAGTCTCTGAACCACTCATCTGGAGTACCACTGGTTGCTCTCTCACAATGCTGAGCCTGCACATTTTCTCTTTACAATTTCCATTTCCTGGGAAAAAGTTAACTTTAAAAAGCAGCAGTTAAATTCAGTCATCTCTTGTTTTGTTGTGTTTATACAACTACATTGATGGCTTCCAATGAGAGCCCCAACTGAAGATCACACAAACATCTGTGACTACCATGGAAAAAAAATCAGAGATAATTTGCCTGAAAAAAAATTATCTTAATGAACATTCAGTCTCAGGAAGCTCTAATCTAAGGAATGCCAAGCTGAAGACCTCTTTGTCACATACACCATGGGACATGACAGATTTCAAGGCAAGTTGAATCAGCACGATTTTCAGAATGCAAGGAACGGTTGTCTTCTAAATGCTGAGCAACTCTTGCTTGAAACATCACCCAAGACTGATTTCTAGAGGTCCCTCTAGCACTGCACCTTCTTTTATGCATTGCCAGCCAATCTGGCAGTGTGGAGAACAGACTTGGGAACGTGTCCCTATTCCCTTCCCTGGTCCTTGGTGAGAGCTCTGTCTCCAGGAGAGCAAGGAAGCACTGAAACTCAAAGCCCAGTTCCTTCTCTCAGTCCATTTCAATCAGCAACCACAGTCAGTCTCTGCTGCAGGAAAATGCTCATAGAATCATTTAATCATGGAACAACAACTTTGGGTACGACGGTTGTAATTTCTTGATAGCTGGGATGGGGTTGCCGGATACCCAAAGACAATATTTGAAAGCCAAGAGAGAGAAAACACAGTACTGGTGAGTTACTGTTTTCATGACAGGCTCACTGGAGGCGCTTTCCCTTCCACTGGTGATCTCTCCCCCTAGAGAGTACTCTGCGGCTACCAAAGACAGTGCTCTGTGCTGAGGCTGCACTCAACACAAGCTTCTTGGAGGGGCCTTTACAAGAATACATTGGAAGCACATCTCTAACACACATCGTGTAATGACACGGAGAGCTGGGGGGGAACTTTTCCAGCTCAAGCCCTTAAAAAACATAACTGTTTTTTTTTTTTATAACAGTCTGGGTATAGTTCTGTGGGTCTTGCCACATCCACAGCATAGATCCTTCTTCCTGATCGCTTGTGAGACATCAAAGGGATGTGTCACCTACTCACCAGCTTGTCTGGCTCGATCTGTTGCTCAGATTTCCATGCACGCCCGCTCCAGGTGCTGCAACAGGGACACACAGGCTCTGCCCCTGGTCCAGGCTGGTGGCTGGCACTTGGCTTCCCTCCCTCAGGTCTCCCCAGCTGCCAGCACCCAGGCACATGTGGTCTGTGGATTTGTCCCAGCTGCTGGCACCAGGCCCCCATACACACCTGCACACCAGCTGGGGCATCCCTCACCTGGGAGAAGAGTCAGAAATGGAGATGGGACACACCATGGTGAACAGGTGCTGGGCGTGCCCAGACAAATGTACTGACCAGCCTCCTATATACCCTTTTATTCCTTTATCCATCCATTTTCCATTACTTTTTATTCCCAGATCTCTTTGTCTCCTCACCAAAGTATCCCATAACAGACCAGTCCTATCCCAAAGTACACTTCTTTTGCATGGCATAATGTATCCATACCCTTTTATTTTAGGCAGTTTAAAACTTGTTATACTAGTGGACTCATCTGGATGGGTTCCCCAAGGACCTCATGGCTTAGGATCTCCTGGGACATCACTGGGAGAGGCTTGGGCAAGCTGCCCCTTCCTCTGAGTCCTTAGTTTGGGTTCCCCACCTGCCATTGGGTCCCTTGTGGAGACGGCTGATGTCTCTCCTTCCTCTGCTAGGCTGGGGAGCAGATTTGGTGGGGTGTTCCTTGGACTCCCTCACCTGCCTTTGCCTCACTGTCCTCATTTGTGGGTGTGCAGCCAAGCTCCTTCATGGGTAACCCAGCAGATCCACTCTCAAATCCAGTTTGGGAGTTGCTGTTGAGGTTTTCAGCTGCTTCTGAAAACAAGCACCAGCAATTTTTTTGCTTTCTCTGGTTCCTCTTCCGCCTGTTGTGAGGTGAGGTGCTTCGTGTCTGGTCCTGCAAGAGACCCAGCACAGTGGTGTGGTCATGGCAACAAAGCTCTACCTACCTATACCCAGGGAAATGATGAGAAGATGAGAGGGTTCCCATTCCCAGCAGGACTAGCAAGAGCTTGCAAGGGAAACAGGGAACCCTTGGGAGGTCAGAGCAAAGTGTCTAGTGGGGGTGACTGAGCTGTGATCACTCACTGGTTTTGTCTGGGGGTGCCACCAGCCCCTCACTGAGCACCTTTGGGTCTGCCTGACTGGGAGGGCAGGGCAGACTTTCCTGGGGAAACCTCGTGTGAGGCTGCAGGTTAGAGAGCCTGAGCTCTGCAGTGCTCCCTTGCCTTTGTCCAGAAGGCACATCCCATCTGCCCTCCCGGGCACTTCCAGTACCTCTTCCCTGCCTTTCCACCTAAGCAGTGAGTAACGTTTCTCCTGCACACTCTAAGCCAGCAGTTCAAAGCACTGAGTAGTTTTCCCTTAGCATTTCTAGAGGTGAGATGGGGCACATGTGGTGTCATCTACCCAGTGTGGCTGTCCCATGCAGCAAAGATATGGCAGCAGAAGCAGACCCCAGGTCTCCATGGATGGGTTTTGTCACAGTCCTCCTAAGTGGAGGATGTGAATAATTACTGGAAGCCTTGGGTGTTTGTGTTACCTCCTTTTGATGAACAATGTGCTGGTCTGGGGGTGTGTGCAGGCTCAGAGAGGCCTTCTCGCCTAGGTCTTGGTGTAAGCCTGTTTCCTTTGCAGGTGTTCTGGGTGCAATACAGCTGTTCTGGCTAGAAAAAAACCAACACTATTAATTAGTCACATAATGCTCAGATACCTCCTGTTATTTAGAGTGAATTGGGCTGAAGATGCTGTTACTACCTGGATGAGTTTCCAGGGCAGGTATATATGAACACCAATAAGGAACAGGCAGGGAAATTGCCAGGTGAACACAGGCAAGCCACAACATTTGCAAGAAAACGGAAATTATTCTTACTTTCCTCTTCTTCTCTTGATCAGTATCATGACACAACATATCACGATGGTCGAGAACACAGTTATTACAACCAGCAAGATGATTATGAATCCCTGAACACCTGCCAAAAGAAACTGGTAAGTTCACACAGAACAGGAAGTGATGCCAACATGTGTCTTGTGTCTTCTTCACGAGGTTGGAAGTGAAGTGGAACATTCAGCATTTTGTGCTGTGTAGGAAATCCTCTTGCTTTTTAAATAAATGCTGGTAATGTCTCCCATTTCCCTGATATCGGGGAAAATAGATCTATATATGCACACAGCCACCACAGAGACACAAAGGTACCCCAGGGAAGAGCCTTCTGCATGGTTTCAAATCACAAAGACTCCATCTAACAGGAGATCTGAACTCACAGAAGATTGTCCAGCAGGACCTACGTAAGTACAGGCTGCTCTCCCACACCTGCATATCCTTGCCCAAGCACTGCCCAGTACATGCTGCACCTCTCCATACAACTGCAGCCTACCTTCCTCTCCTTTTTGCTCCAGATGAAGTGCCTTTATTTTCCTTCCTTGTGGGTGTTCAAGCAGGCAACACAAGGCATGGCGGTGGTTGGCAGAGAAGGTAACTCTGCTTGCCACTGTTACAGTTCCATTTCGGTTTTGGATGTAGTGTATTTGAGGGGACTCATCCAGGCCTCTCTCATCCAGCCAGGTGATGTTGGGAGCAGGCTTTCCTGTTGCAGAGCAAACTGCAGCAAGGAGACCCTCGGTGGGCAGGTGTGAATCAAACTCGACTGTGAGCTCAGAAATTGCTGAGAGCAGAAAGAGAAGGTACTTTTTACAATCTGTGGTGAGTTTGTGGTCAAAGCTGGGTGGATCACCTCTCCATACAGGGTCTCTTATCCAAAAGCCTCTCCTGCCTTATTTACCTGCACCTGCTGTGAGGGATGGAGCGTCAATCTGGAGACTTTCCACCAAGGAGGTGCTGCAGCATGGAAAGTCTCCATGCGGCACTGGAGGGGATAATGACCCACCCACCTCCTGACTACACCAGACCCGTGCTGAGTGCCAGAGAGTGAGAAGATATTAGTGTAAAACTTACTCTGGATGTTGAGGAGTATGTCTTTGCTGAAAGAGCCGTGACGGAACACATTGAAAATGCATCTGTAATAGGACTCATCCTCAAATGTGAGATTTTGGAGGGTGATAGCCGAGGCCTTTGAGGTTCCTGCAGTGAAACGCACCTTCTTCTGAAATGTCCCTATCAACCTCAGCCCGTATATTGAGCTGTAGGTGGCTATGTTCTGGAAGAAAGACCCATTTATCTTCTGCCAGGTGACTTGCAAAACCTCCATTGAGAGCAAGAAGTTGCAATATAAATTTGCCTCTCCACCAAAGGCTGCTAGGATGACACTATCGGATTTGATGACTTCCTTCAAACCTAGGAACAAAGATATCATCTTGTCAAACCCTCAGCATAGCACCACCACAAGCCCCCTAAAGCACATCCACAGGTGCCGCATCCAGATGCCTCCTGAACATCTCAAGGGCACCAGCGCCCTGGGCAACTTATTGCCATGTCTAACCCCACTTTCAGTCAATTCTGTTTTCTAATGTCTAATCGGAAACTCCCATGGTAAAACTTGAGGTCAGTTCTTCTTGTCCTTTCCCTTGGGACGGAGCAGAAGAGACCAACCCCCACCTCAATACAACCTCCCTTCAAGTAGTTGTAGAAAGCGATGAGGTCTCCCTTCAACCTCCTTTACTCCAGGCTAAACATCCCCAGCTCCCACAGACACTCCACAGGTGACTTACGCTCTAGACCCTTCATCAGCTTTGTTGCTCTTCTCTGGACACGCTCCAGCACCTCAATGTCTTTCTTGAAGTGAGGGGCCCAAAACTGAACAGAGTGCTTGAGGTAAGGCCTCACCAGTGCTGAATACAGAGGGACAATCATTTCCCCAGTCTTGCTGGCCACACTATTCTTGATACAGGCCAGGATGCCATGGGCCTTCTTGGCCACGTAGCCAGATCCTATCCAGCTGGCTGTCAACCAGCACCCCCAAGGTCCTTTGTGCTGAGCATCCCTCAAGCCACTTCTCACCCAGCCTGTGGCACTTCTCCCATTAACCAGGACTGCTGGTGAATGATTTAAAGTGGCTTGTCAAGCTCTCTCACCAGCTCCCTCATCCCTCTCATCTCATCTGGGTCCATAGACTTGTGGGTGTCTAATTAGCCTAGCAGGTCACTAACCATTTCCTCCTGGATTATGGGGGCTTCATTCAGCTCCCTCTCACTAACTTCCAGCTCTGGCAGCTGGATATCTTGAGAACAACTGGTTTGGGTATTAAAGACATGGGGAAAAAAGGCATTAAGTAACTCAGCCTTTTCCTCATCTCCTAACACTGTGCTACTCTACTGGGAAGGCTATAGTGCCTTGCAGCATCCCTTCACAGAGCTCTCATCTTGCAGAGCTCTGGAGCAAGGCACTCCACCACGTGGCTGTGTGGCACACTGGGAGAACTCAGACATCCTGGTCTCACAGGTGGTCGTCACATCTTTAGCCTCTGCTGTACATATCCTGTGGAGAGGAGGAAGGCAGACTGGGAACAGCAGGGTGGGCAGGCTCCTCAGCAAGCACAGCAACCACCCAGAGAAAAACCCTGTCACTCCCAAGAGCGTCCCTGCTCCTCTGTCACTGGCACCTGCAGGGCTGTGGGGGGAGGTGGAGCAGCCCCGGGCACCCTGCAGACAAAGGGCTGGAGAGAGATATCCCCCTGCTCCAGCCTGTGCCCAGAGAAGTGTGCACCATCCAGAGATGTACACTGGAAATGCAAACCTGAACCATCCTGTGTACTAAGGAGCTTAGCAACAATTAGAAAAAAAGAGAATATACAGGCAGAACATAACAGCTTGAGTGCAAAGATTATCTGAGATCCTCTTCTGACCTGCCTTTCTCAATCTGAACAATCCCCAGGTTCCTAGCTATTATTGCAATACCAATTAGTATTTTTTAGTCAGGATAGTGTCTGGGTCTCCTTGCTTGTCAGGAAAGGCTGATGTTGCTCCAGAGTTAACCTGGTGTGGATAAAGGACACTCCACTCACCCATGGCTGGTTCCTCTGGCTGGCAGCCTCCACAGAGCAGAAGGTGGCAAAGTTCAGCCCAGAAAAGCAGGGGGAAAGCATTGTGGCACAAAGCAATTGTCTGAGAAAGCTCATCTCTTTCCCCATATCCCTGAGGGTGGCTGGTGTGCCCAGAGGGAACGTTGAAGATTTTTGCGCCTTTTTTTTTTTTAACGCTTACCTTGGAGGCCAATCAGCAGCACCTGGGAGGAACAGTCTCAGGACCCTGGTGAATCATTAATCATTGTTTCCTGCAGCAGCACTGGCTCCAGAGCTGGAAACAAACAGCACCCACTTTTTTCCCCTCAGCAGCAAGGCTTGGTGTTGTCCCTTGCTAGCCCTCTGTAGCTGGGCTTTGCTACGAGCCATCTGATGGACCTGCACCTCACAGGGTGTAATTGTGGGATCTTCCTGGTAAGCAAGGATGGTGGCTGGTGGAGAGGGAAGAAACAAGGGACCACAGGCCCCTACAGCCCCTGCTCTGTTCGGCAGGAAAGGGAGGCGCTCCCTGTGGATCACCGCCCCAGCTGCCTGCTGGACACCGCGCTGGGTGCCGATACCGGACTCCTGAGGGAGATCACTTTCCTCCCCTGGATCTGGCGGAGAGGAATCACAAGCAAGAACAAGAGATGATTCCCCACCAGAGGGCAGTGTGGAGACACCTGCAGACAAGCAAACCAAGCTGGATTAGGAGAGGAGTCACCGCAGGTTTGCCTGAAGCCTCCCCACCTCAAATGTCTTTGCGCCTTATATAATTCCAGAAGGGAAAAGCCGGGGTGTGACTGTACTCCTGGGCTTCAAGGTGATGTCTTGTGCCCAAGGGTTTTGCTGTAAAACCACACAGCACAGCTCCCTGCCACCTGGTAACTCAGCATGGTGAAGTTCCTAACTGTGCTTGCAGAAGGATACCCACCATACTCAGCACATGTTTTCAGTAAGAAAGGGAGAAAGCTGTCTTACAGGAAAATATGAGAAGCCAATACCATGTACACTCTGTGTTTGTCTTTGCTGTTTATGAATTTGACTCTTCATCAAAGCAGCATCATCAATTTCTCTAATTCTCATCAGTTTTATGATTTCTTTCAGGTCTACATGAGTTTGCATCCTCCCCCTACCACTCCCTGCCCCATCTTGTAGACTAATTCATAACAAGGTGAGATCGACTCCAGGACATCCCTCCTGGAACCTCGCCCTGAGGGGAAGGGGCTCCATCCAGCCTCTCCTTTAGCCTCACAGCACTGCAGGCAAAGAGCAGGCGAGGTGAAACCAGTGCACACCAAACACTGTGTCAGAGCCTTTCCAGAGGATCCCTCAGGAATTTTCAGCTTCAGTTCCCTTTCTCGGCCCTATCATCTCTCTCCTCCCATGCAGGCTCCCATCTCAGCCTCGTCTTTCCCAGACTCCTGCTCTGGGCAGAAGTGGTGGCCCTACTGCCAGCCAGGCGGAAGCATTTGGGGCTTGGAGCGAGCTCCCAGGGTCTGGCTAAGTGATGCTCCACAGCAAACCCTATGACACGTAGCAGAGAAAGCCATGACAACTCACTTACTTTCCCCTTCCCAGGGGCACAACTGCCAACCAAATTCACTACATTAACAGACTCAAAAACCTCAACAAAAACAAGCATCAGAGATTCTTGCAGAAGCAGCTCAAGACAAGAATTGGTGGGCACGGACAAGAGAGGATGCAGCTATTTCTGTAGAGGTCACACAGGGAGCTTTCCTGGCTTAGAAGGGCCAAAGAGCATGTGAAGGTGAATATGCTCAATGTACATGGCACTCACACCTCTAGAGGGGCCTGGTAACAAGTCAGATTATTGAAACAGAATCTGCCCAACTTCTCACATTGTTTCCCACATCCCCCTTCCACAACTTTTACCTTTTTCTGTATAGTTCCTGAACTTTGTGAATAAAAAGGAGGTAGCTTTTTTCCCCTTTTCAGTAATTTATCAAAGTTTCTGGAAGATGCAGTTCTTTGTTTGTTTAAGCAGAACTATCCCAGAGGACTGCTTGTCCAGGCCAGACCTCAAATGCTTTCAACTTCTCAGATAAAGCAGCATATTCAGACTTTGAGTACTGAAGGCTGTGACCTTAATTACTTAATTCTGATTTTCTGAAGAAAAACACTAAGTAAGTTTTAAAGTCTACCTAAGTGTGCTAGGTTTGAGTTGAAAAGGCAATGTTCTGTGGGCTTATTCCTTTTTCAGGCTTCAGTTTTGCTACTTCTGCTGATGCCAAAAAGGAGAATTACTAGTAAAGAGAAAGACAGTTAATCAGCAGTTTTATGGCATTGTATTTCCCTCCACCCTTTCTGTTGGTTCATGTTTATTGTTCTCAGTTATGCCACAGGCCAAGGAACACCCTGCTCCTGCTTACAGCTTAGGTGAAAGGAGAGGGGAAAGGAAATGTTGGCTCTCTCCTGGCTGCAAGCCCAGACACATCACTGAGCTGAGAGGGGCAGACATCAGCCTGGCAAAAGCCATGAGAGCAGGTTATCATCAAGAAAGTTCACCCCCTGGTTTCCTGCTGGTATCATATTTTCTTCAGTTCGGAAGTTATGGGGATTTTACTCTTTTGATCACAAATCAGTTGAGGAACACAGAGTTTTGCAGTACCCAGTGCCAGTTCCCCACTGCTGTGTCAGCTCCTAGCTGTGCCCAACCCTCATCTGCCCTGGCTGCATTATCCATAGCCACTCTTATGTCATATGCTGGCCATCAAGGGTCAAAAAGAGGCCATCCATCGCTAATTAACTCTGCAGACTTTGCAAACTGGGACTCTTGCTCATGCTCTTAAATGGTATGCTTTCCAAGCACCCCTCAGTTCTTTTGCCAAGCCCTTGGCACACGTGGTTTAGTTGCAAAACTGGGCAAATGCCTCAAGCCAATTAGTCTGCTAATGCCTGCAGAAGAGAGGCCACAGAGAGGTACAGATCCCAGGTAGTGTTCTCAATGCAAAGATAATTTTATAAGAAGTGTTACTCCTGAAAGTAGCCAAGACCTAAGCACCCATTTTCTAACAAATTGCCAACTTGAGAGATTTCCTGTGAAAACTGTTCCTGCATTTGACTCCATTTAGAGTCCTTTCCCCCATCTTCAGGCTCTGTGTGTGCCCTTTTGCTCTGATCTTTCTTTCCCTCCTCCCTCCCTAGCTCCCACTTCCCAGATCAGCCCTATGACAACCCTGGTTGGAGAAGAACAAGAGGTGCCCAGCAGGGCAGAGGTGATCCAGGTAGGAGGACAGCATCTGCAAAGGTGTGATGAGACAGAATAACATCAGGGAGAGGAAGCAACCTCGAACCAACCAGGAGATACAAATGACGTGGCTGTGTCAAAGCAACAACAAAGCAAAGGACAAACTTGTTATTTGTGGGATAAGTATTGCACTGGTTGATAGTTCATCAAGTCTGGATCCCATGGACAAGAAGAAGAGCAAAGAAGGAATAAATATGATAAGGGAATGAAGGAAGCTGTAGAGAATCAAATAGAGGGGCCCAGAACTTCTCACTCACCTGTCAGGAAAAACAACTATCCCCCTACTAATGACTGGTGGCTTCTGGCTTCAGTTTTTCCAATCTGGCCTCCCAACCCATGTCTGCCAGTTCCACAGCAGAATGACAGCCACAAATCTGAGAGTAGAGGAGTTAAAACTGCACAATGACCACAAGATCCTCCTGCTAGGCCAGAGCCCACTGGAGAACCTGATGCATCACGCCCCTTCAGTCTGGGATGTTATCACCTGTGACCCAGGATTTCACCTCCTTTTGTTTTGTGTCCTAGTCAGAGGGTTTCCACCCCAGAGGAGCCTGCAGGAAGCTCAGCACTCTCTCTTGGTGATGCAGCTAGGTCTTGTTTTCCCTATGCAACCTTGAGCTAGACTCCAAGGAATGTTTTCTGGTTGTCTTGATGTGGTCAGAAGTTGTTATAAAACAGATTTGCAGAAAAAAATGGTTGAATTTATATACACAGATACAGAAGTATTGAATAGAGAACCTCGTTTCTCCTGATAAATCCTAGAAAGCAGACAGCATACATTTAGTACCCTTAAACCATTCTAAAGTAGGTATGCAAAGATTTTCTGTTCTTTGTGTATAGGTTCTGGTGTTTTGAGAAAAACCTGCAGCAAAAAGTGATATTTCTTGTGACTCAGATGATGGGCAGCTGAAATCACTGCAATCTCACTTACAAAAATAGCTACATTCCTGTAGACAAGGAAGGCTCAGGGCAGACTGGCTTCTTTAAACCTAAAATATAAGCTTGGGTGTTTATGATGAAACACTGGACTTTCTGTAAGTTATTTGAGGGAAAATAGAAAATATTTTGATTGGAAAAAGAAATTCACTTTTTTTAGACTAAAAGTTTAGGGTTTTTTTCCGAAAACTTTTACTTGCATCTTAATCCTTCATGTATAATTTTAAGTGTTGTTATACTAGAAAAGCTGCATTTTCCTCCTTTTTCCTTAGGGTGGTTAAAGATCACAGCTTCTGACAAGGTAGGGAGCTCACCACTCTGTTTATATTGTGTATGGGTCTTAGGCTGAGGATTCCCTCAGACTTCCCAGAAATTTCTGGTGGAGGCTGAGGATTCCCTCAGACTTCCCAGAAATTTCTGGTGGCTTTTTTCAAAGCTGAGCAGACTGCAACAGAGTCCACAAACCAAACTCTTGTCCACAAACACTTGGACAAAAGTTCAGTGCTGCTTTCACACACAGCTTTACATGAACAAAGATGAAGGAAGCAGAGATATGAAAAAGCCCTTTGTATGGCTTCCAAAATGTGAGTAATTACTGGTATACTGAGAGTGAAAACAAAAATATACTTTTGTATCTACCTGGTTTGATAGTCTCATTTATGAAAGAGAAAAATGTACTCAGTTAGTGCGATTCTCTTATTTCAGCTATTGCCAGGGCTCAAGTGCTGAAAACCGAATGAAAAACAATAGGTTATATTTTCTTCCGTGTCTGAGTTCGTAGGAAAATTTACTGGTGTGGTATTTAGATGAATCATTCCCCTAGGGTCATGCAATAGAGAATTGAGGAATAATGCTTTCAAACTTCTATCATCAAAACAAAGTTAGTTTTGGGACTAAATCCATACAGGAAAAAAAAGTTCCTTTTCACTGTATGAATTTAGTCCCAGCCCACTGGCAGTAGTGGTTTCAGAAGAAGAATATTCTTCCTATTTCAGCCATGACTTGTAAACTATCTAAGGCCAGCATTTCTGCTACATTTCAAATTTACATCTTCAGCCAGAGCTGTTGGGGCAATTAATTTGCCCCTGGGCAGAGAAAAATACCAACACAATACAGTTTTGAAATAGCCTGACATGCCAAAACAGGAACATGGGCATTTTATACAGCCTGAGAACCCTTCATTATATATCAACATATATATATATATATATATATATACATAATACCATCAGTTAAAAAGGACATTCCTTACATGAGTTAAAACCTTAACCCAGACTGGTTAATGCCAAGATCAAAGGATCCCAGAGCTGAGAGGTGCAGGCTAAGTTTGCTTTATAAAGCGAAACACATTACCCAGAGCCAATTTTACCCCAGTAAGATGCAACCAGGAGGGTGACATTGTCACTTGCCTTCTTTCCATCTGTTAGGAGAATTATGCCCTGCAGCAACACAACTATTGCCCTGGGCTGGACAAGTGGTAGTGACAAGAGGTGGCCAGAGGCAGAGTTAGGTGAGACCAACAACTGTCCAGTCACAAAAGAGACAAACTCCTAGGCCTTTCTTTTTCTCTCTCTCTTTTTTTTTTTTTTTTTTTTGTGATGGCCATAGTAGCTCAGAACATTCCTGTAGAGTTAATGTTGAAAATATGGTCTGCTTCCATTTACTTACAAAGTTAACCTGCTTTATATTGGCTGTATTGGAGTAGCAAAGCAGAGCAGTCTATTTTACTTAAATTTCCTACCAGTTTTATTTCTGCTTCTCATCTCAAGCCCCATACCACCCACCCACCTACAGCCATGCAGGGCCCCTGCAGCCAAAAGGTGTTGGGGATCAAACCTATCTGTTCATGAAAGCCACCTGTTTATTAAAATATATACTAAGCTTCTGTATAAACCCCCCTGAGATATAACCTCCAAGGAATTACTGTCAAATGGTTAACAGAGGTAACTGGGCAGACAAGCACAAAATAACCACAAAGAATCCTCAGAACAGCAGTTGGGGTGTTCATCACCCTCAGTCAAAATTTCTGATCCCCCCAGTCACGTGCTTGTTTGTTCCACAAAAGGTGGTTTGTCTTTATTTCACATCCCTTTTCCCTCCCCCACAACTAAAAGCCAGTTTATTATCCATAGTCTGTATGCTTGCATTCATTTTGTTGCTGTATGAAGCCAAACTCCACTGCACTAGCACACAGCAGTTTATGGCACTGCATCTTAGTAGATGGCTTTCTATAGCATGAAGGCAAATACATGCATTAGTTTTAAGTGTTCTGCCTTTGGAGGTCATTTGCTGTTCTCATTTCAATATTGTGAAAGAAAAATAAATCTTGTACAGAATTCTGCTTATGGGTAAACCACCTCATCCCTCTCTTTTACTTAGTCTCTGGACCTATCATGCCACAAAAGCTTTTCACAATTCAGCATTCAGCTAAAAAGCAAAAGAAATTGCAATCCCACAGATACTTTCATGACTCCAAACCCTCCTTTCCCCCCCTCCAGGTGATCAGCTTGTAGAAAAGAATAGTAGGTAACCTTTGCTGTCTTCCTGGGTTTGAAAAGGTTTCTTTGCAACTTTGTGCCTTTCTCTCTTCCCTCAGAAAACCCTTTTCATTATCCATGTCCAGACTCTCTGTTTCAGTGAGAGAATCCTTTCACTTTTTTTTTTTTTTAAGACCCCTTAGTCTAAACATTAGCAGAAATCCTATGTTCAGACTCAGGTAAGCCTCTCTAAATTGCAAGTGCAGATTGTGCAGAAGGGTAAGGGCTGAGGCTGCACAGCCTGCTCAGAAGGTGTGCCAGGGGCTCTCACCCCCTTCTTGTTCTCCAGGAACCCAGGGGTAAAACCCACTTCTCCCCTGGCCTCTTCTCTCACAGAGGAAGAAATGAAGCTGCAATGCTGGAAAAATTTGGAAAAAAACATTGCTTCCTTCTTTGAAAGTTATGGAGCTCCGGAGAAAAAAATCCCAATTGTGACAGCTGCAGCCAGTTCCCTTTTCCCCTCAGTCACCAGCTGCTCTATTACTAAGTGTTAGGGAGCCTAAAAAAAGCATTTTATGGCAAGTACCAGGTTTATTCATTCTCAACTCACCCACTTGCTTTCATTTTAGGTTACTTGGCTCTTTAACTACAACTCAGTCTGATTCATCTGGGATGCCCATTTGAAAATAGATGGATGAGGAAAAACCAGATGACATGCACTTGCTCCAGGAAGCCAGAAAGAGAGGAAACACGCTGCACTTACAGTCTTCATGCTCCCCACAAGACCAACATCAGCCAGGTAGGCTCATTTCTCCTTCCCTGGGTCTGTCAAGTTTCATGAGCATATGGTGCAATTCAGAGAATTACAGGAGATTACAGCTCAGATCTGACCTACAGTCTAGAAGCAAAGAATTTTCACAACACGCAATACTTGTTGCCCTGTCATTGTGTATATCTGCCCATATGCAGCACCCACCTCCTTACACCTGCCAGCCTCCTGCATCCCACTGTACTCACCTATCACCACTCCAGCACAGAAACAAAACAAGCCAAACAGCCCTGCTGCCCCTCCAACTGCTCTTTTATTGCCCTGCTTCCTCCTGCAGGTGGGTGGGCTGCCTGGAAACACAAGGCAGCTGTGATGGATCAGGGAGATTACTAAGGGGGCTGTGGAAACCGCTGAGAAAGAGGGGAAAAGAAAACACATCTGTAGCTTTGGCTTTTGCTTCATTTTCTAGGAAAGGCTAGTGCAAGTCAGAGTTGGCACTTCTGCATCCCTGATGACTCCTGGCTTGAAGCCTGTTGCTCCTGGCGCCTGGGTTACAAGTTCAGGCTGGCTGCAGTCTTGGCCTGATCTCTTGTGCCCTTTGGGGAACAAGTTCAACACTTGAAGCTCACAGCAGTGTGCTGGGCTGCTCCATGGGTTTTCTGCAGCCCAGCTCCTAGCTGAGGTCTCATTTGGCCCATTAGCAACACTTCCCAGGCCACCAGCCCTACAAAATGCTGCTCCGTTTCAGACAACTCCCCCACCCGCTTGCAATCTTAAAATATTGCAATCTTAAAATATTGCAAGAAAAGGAATAAACATGATATTCAAACCTCGAGAAAATACAAAGAACAAGTTTCATTAAGTGGATCCACACAGTCAGCCTGAATCTCAAATAAATACTTTACAGCTTTTTTTCCCTACAAAACGGAATGTTATAGTATAACAAAATAAATAAATATCCATTATAAATTGTCCTTTTTTCTATTACTCTTGGAGAGAGTCACAGCAGGTTTGCTTGGAAGCTTGAGGTGCTGTTGTAAGAGTTTCCCTCTTGCATATGTAGCGTGGGCAGTTTCTCAGGTGTTCAGTGGTGCACTGGGGCTGGAGGACCCCACAGGAGCCCACCCGCCTGCAGCTCCGTACTGCCCGCACTTCTTGGCCTTGCTACAGGCAGGAGGTACCTGATGGAAGAGAGGTTGGTTTTGTTTATTTCTTAAAAAATACAGGGATATTGTAAGTGAGAGGGTAAAGATCCTGGCTATATGTGTTGTGAAATGGGTCCTTGCATCTCTCTGTGTGAGGGGAGCCTCAAGTTTTCCCCTTGCAATCCCACCAGCAGTCTTCAGCTTGGACCCACGGGCATAGTGCCTGTGGAAGACATGTACTGCATTTCCTCCATTGCTTGTTTTTGTCCAAAATGCTCATCAAAAGTCAGGCTGTACACGTTAGTCATATCCTGCAAGGAGGATGAGGAACCTTCTCAAAACTGGGCTGTGATTTTCTGAAACGATGCCACCTCACTCAGTGTATCCCCACCTCAAGCTTGCATCCTTCATCATCAGGATGGCCTCGGTGAACAACCAGCAATGCCTCAGCTCCTACCACAGCATGGCACCCTGGGCTTTCCTCACAGAGGCACAGTTTTCCTCTAAGACCCCATTTTGTTTGAGACACATCCTCAAAGCTGCTGCCTTTGTGAGCTGCGCTGGGCGTGCTGAGGGAGGTTATTTTAGGAGCTGCAGAAGAATGGTGCAAGGGTCTGGCCATTGCTTGCACAACTATTTTGTGCATAAATATAGTGGTAGAGTGACTCTTCTGCCACAGCATGCATTGTCATTGACACAGTGAATATCTTCTAGGTGCTGGTGCTGTCAGGTGCATATGACCTGGCTGTGCAGAATCAGGTTTCCCCTTCCCAGCGTGCTGCTGCCCAACTCTCTGGCTGGGGGCTAATCCCTGTGTCTCTCTCCAGCCCAGGAGCAGCTCGGGCTGGGCAGTGTGTAGGCAGCCCTGGCGTGGCTGGGCAGAGCTGGGTTGTGGTACTGAGCCCTGTGGCCGGTGGGGTTGAGCCCTGCAGCACTCTGGGGAAAGGCAGACCTACCCAGCATGGCCAGGCTGGGTTTCTCTCCAGGTCACGTCGGTGCCTGAGGCAGTGGCAGAGGAGAAAGGTGAGAAGGAGGAGGGCAGTCAGGGGGACCAGTACTCCCACTGCAATGGCGATAGTGGGTGCCACGGTGCTGTCCAGACCTGTGGGGAAGGCAGCAGGTACTCAGTTTGTGCATGAAGTCAAACAACAACCCAAAACCCATTTCAAACATCCCTTGGCCATTCCCTGGGGTGAGATGGGGTGGATAGGGGCACTGGGAGCACATGCCAGCATGACACACACACACAGCAGTGCCAGCAGACCTGTGCTTGGGATCTGGTATCATGGTCAGATGTGAGAAACCCAGCCCTCCAAGCTACCCAACACTGGCACGTCTTGTTGGTGCATCAGGCTATGTGACAGGGAAACCCATCACAGAGGAAAGGAGGCTGGGGCACATCATGGCATATGGGGGGACCTAGGGAGCAGTAACAAATTGTATGCCATAGCCCAGGGCATTCAGATGCTCTCAGGCACCTTCTCCATCCCTCCCAAGCCCAGCCCGGGCTGCTGTTCAGGATGCCTTCCCCACCTGCCCCGAACCCTCTGAGGAGTTGTGTGATCTATCCCAGGGGTCTTTCTCCACCCCTCCTCAAAGCAGGAGCAGAGTTACGTACTGACCCTGCTGCAGGCTGTCCGTGGGCAGGACCCGAGTCACGTTTAGAGAAGGGTGCTGGATCATGCAGGCGATGGGATAGTCATGGAGGATTTTGGAGTGGGTGTGGGTGAAATTGCTGATGACAGTCACGGTCTGGTTGCTGAACTTGATATGGTATTCCCTTGGTTTCTGCTGCAGGATGCTGGGAAGGTGCCAGGTTATTTTTGGAGCTGGTTTCCCAGTTGCTGAGCAGCTTATCTCCACCACTTTCTCAGAGTCCTCAGTTTTGTCTGGACTGGGTATAAGTTTAGCTTCCACTTTGGGGTCCGAGATGGCTGTAAACGACAAAGTGACAAAATTCATTAGTTTCTGCCCACATTTGAGCAAAGAGCGTCTGTATTTAGAATTACCTTGGAGCACGAGCTTGATGTCTCATCTTACTTCCCCCTTCCCAAAGCCCCAGCAGTGGCAAATAAACATGAAAGTGATCAGGCAGCAGTCTAGAACTGAAGAGCTAGACAAAAATAAAGGGCAAGGGGTAGAAACATCTGTGTTTCAGTTCTGTTATTAGCAGCTGCACCGCAGCATCCCAGCTGAGAAGTGGTGATTATGGATGGGTTAAAATCAGTAAGTAGTGAAACCATGAAACTATATGTCTTCCTCTCTCTGGAAGAGCTGATCTGCTTGAATGAGTTAAAATTATTGTTCTTTTCCCTTAAACTTACATGCAGGATTAGCTTTACTGCTGTTTGAGGTGTGTAGAGTTGCAGAACACAGGACTAAATGCATTTATTTATGCAAGACGGTAACAGTGATTTTGTATGTGGTTACACCACAGGATTTCATCTGTGGAGGGTTTGAGTTTGTATGACTTTCTTGCCTCTAAGTGCTGGGTTTTGAGTGCATCATGGTATCCCTCAAAACCTTCACAAAAAATCACTTCTTCTGGACTCTTTCTCACCCTACAAGATTTGAAGATGCTGTCCCAATCTTAGTCAGCGAGAAGGATGAACTACAGGCATCACTCATGCTTATTCACTCACATGAAGCCTGCTTGTTGATTCCTATTTATAGAAACTTCAATTGCAAGGAACAGAGAAAGGAGGGGAGTTCAGGAATCTGTTTTCAATCTGGATAGAACTCCAGGTGAGATCTGAACACATAAGAACACACCTGTCCCATGTGGAAAATCACCTATTTATCCTTGGCCATAAAATCATATCATAATTTAAGTCAGAAAAGACCTCTGGAGGTCATCTAGTTCAAGCCTCTACTCTGCTTAGGTCAGTTTGCTCAGACCAAGGTCTATAAAGGCATCTAGCTCTATTTGGGAGTTCAGCCCATGGGTTTCTGTATGGCAGCTCACCCGCCTGCCTTCTACTTCAGTGCATGTGCTGGTGGAATAGGGGTCCAAACTGCACTCCACTTCTAGGTCCCTGATTCTGAGAATATTACTTCTTTAAACCATTTAAGTGCAGTTGCAATTCTAGTTTCAGTCAAGTCTGAGTTGCTATGAACGTTCTCTGATTAAGAAAGTATCCATGATTATATTTAGTAGAACTCCATATGTATATTACTATTTACATAACAAAAATAACAATGGTCAGTGCAATATTTATGCTGAAATTAATTTTTTTCCCAATACTAGCAAACACCCCACTTTCATTTAGCAATTCTGCTTTTAAACAAACAAAGAAACAAACCTTCTATTTATTCCTCTTAGGAAAAATGATTATTCTTCCTTTTGTGAGGTAAACAAAGATTTGCATAGGAATGAGGTGTAGCAAACACTGTGAAAGGGGAAAATGCTTGTGCCAGATACAAAAAGGCACCTATAACCTCCTGGTACAATTCCAGATACATCTCATAGGGTTGTTTGCATCCTCCAAGCCGTAAGTGCCAGAGAGTGGAAGCTAGACTTTGTATACCATCAGCTTTGCTGCTTCTTGTTTGTTGTTTGATTTTTTAAAAGCCCGACCTCATTTATTTACTGTGGTTGCGGCTGCCTAGGAAAAATAAGTGTGTATTTCTCATTTTTTGTATCACCAATAGATAGAAACTCAAACCCCACATAGCTGCTGAAACCTCTGAGAGCAACAAGGAAAGTGTGTAGGGGGATTTCAGCTGGAACTTCTCAAAATCTCCCAAGTATGAAAAGACTAGTGTCACAAACAGTTTACGTTTCGATAATAAATGATCTCTGAACTTCTTCTTTCACTCACGGGATGCATAAAAATAACATATCCACCCCCAGCATTAACACAGCATTCAAATAGGTTGCAAAATTCAAAAGCAGTCAAAGAGAGTAGTCACAGATGTTTCCAAAGAGGATGAGAAAAATTGCTTAGTATCTTGCCAGAAACACATGCACTCCATGCCTGCTCTTCTCCAGACTAAAAAGTTCTCTCTCTTCTCACATTGGACCCCAAGGCCTTATCCTGTAGGGCTGAGCTTCTCTCTAGCAAATGTCTGTAATAGATGTACTCTCAAAAGCTGCAAGTGCTTGCTTTTTCAGTCAAGTCCCACTACACTGTTTGCTTGTGTGTGCCCGCTGTTGATGTTTGATACACACACTTAAATTAACTGCTTCTTTTGCCTCTCATCAAAATATTTGTTTCCAGTGAAAAAGTCTTTGAAAGAAAAGTTGAGTGCAAGTACTTGCTTTAGTTGCTCTTGAAGAGAAGTAATGCAGATGTTCCAAAATTCAAGCTCTGTCAGCATTCCCAAATATTTGAAAAAGAGAGTTTCTAATGACGTACATCACTTTGATTATCTGTAATGGCTTCTGTAATTAGAGGGAGACTGTCAGGTCACGATGTGCTTTATATGTTTAAAAACTCTTGACAGTGGCATCATAGAGACTGATAAAAGATTATAGGCATTATAGTTTGCCTCGTGGTGACATCAAGCCTTTTCCAACCATGTGGATGTTCACCAGCAGCCCTGTGCCTCAGTTTCCCTGTCTAAGAAAGAGCAATGGCATTTCTCCACTGTGCTCAAGACTTCCAGGCAAATGATGCTGCCTACCATGAAGGCAGGTCTCTGAAGATGGCCCAGCAACTGCCCAGGGAATTTTGTGACCCAGCAAGTCTTGCCCATTCTTGTGTATCACATCCCTCTTTCTCCACCCCTGCTCCCTCAATACTCTTTCTGGATTTCATTCTAATGCTCTTTGGCAGTGAAGGCTGACAGAACACTTCCAAAGTAAAGTCGAGGGGGAAGGGGAACAGATTATTTGAAAGAGACCAACCGAGCATGACTGAAACTATTCTGTTCCAAAATGGATTATGCCAAAGGGTAAGAAATTTCTGCTTCTTCCTGGGTTTGCTGTTTCCAACAGGCAAGTCTGAAATCCCTCCAGTCATACCTGTTTCTTTTTTCACAGTGTTGTATCCAGTTCTTACAGGGTTTCGCTTCCCCTCACCCCGCAGCGAGGGTGCCCATCCCGGAACAGCCGCTCTTGCGAAGGCTGCTGTAATCGGGCAATTACCACCTTGTAAACTCCCTGGCAGTCCCCTCTTGAGGGCAAAGGCATGGCACCGTTTCATTTTCAGCTGGTGACTCTGGCTTGCTTGCCTTGCCCCATGTCCCTGAGCCTTGGGAGATTCCTGCTGGCTTCACACTCCGTCATGGGACACCCTCTGGGCTTGTTCGGACAAGTTATTCCCATCATTATGTGTCAGGGGATAAGGGAGCAAGACTGTGGCTTTTGAGTAGCATCACATGCATTAATTTCAATGAAGGATACCATATATGAACCAAAATCTTCTGTCACAGTGCTGGATACTCAGATTGTTCATGCTGACCCCCCCAGGATGAGTTTGATGCAGCACATTACAGGAAGGCCACCACGACCCCCAGGAGGCAGCCCCTGGCAGTGGCCCCCAAGCCCATGAGAGAACTGAAACCCTTCTCAGTTGATACATTTTCATCTGAGGTGCAGGAAGAGACGCTTGTATGCCTGGCAGCAGAAAAACAACTTCTTTTTTTAGAAGTAGTGCTCTGGTGAAGGATGAACCAGAGCCACAAGGCTGGTGTTTTTGGTAAGAAATTCCCCCACTTGGATAAAAAAACCGCAAATCAAACCAAAAACAGAAACAAAAGAAATCTAACTTTATGTTCAATTTACATGATAAACAAGAATGGGATCCATCTGCAAGGCACTTCCATGTTTTTCCTGTAATGTATAATTGGTGTTTACCGTCCGAGTGACTCAGAGCTGGGTGCCTTTAAGAAAACCTTCCTCTTCATATATGAAATATTGCGTGAATTTATCCTCATTTGTCTTTTCTGCTCTAGGAGTTTTCCCAAAAGATGGGAAAAAGTACTATTGCTCCAGGCTTGGTTTTCTCCTGTATTTCCCACCACCTTTCCTCTATTGCCTAAGTCATCTTTTCCCTATAATCCAGGGGTGTCTTTTCTCCACCAGAGAACTCCAGACATGGGTGTGGACACATGGATCTGTGTCTTTGTCAGCAGAAGGTACTAGGGATAAGCAAAATACTCTGCAGAGGTCATATCACCAGCGACAGGTCACACTGATAATCTCCACATGGGACATGACCTTTGGCCAGTGTCCTCACAGCAGAGTCTTGCATGAGGAATTCAGGAGCCAACAGATTGTCCTCAGAGCATGTTTAATACCTCAGCTTTTTCACAGGCAGAAAAGCAGCAGCCTTCCTCAAAAGATAAGCAACTTTTCACTTATTTCAACTAAGTTAATCTATTTATATTTATTTCAGCTTGTACTTGCTAGTTGACGATTACATATGGTGACAAATATTGCCACCTTGACTCATGGTATGTTTCAGCTCTCTTCTTTAAGGGAGTTGATGCTGACTTGCTCAAGATATTCATGTGGCAAAACTCATGAGCTGTGCCCTTTTCCTGGCCCAAGCACAACTACTGTCATTTTTACTATTGCTTCAAAATGAGCTTTCAACTACTCTGGTCATGCATGTGCCTCTTTGCCTTTTGAATACTTTGCAATTTTTTTAAGACCAAATGCAGAGCAAGGAAATAATTGCTGAGTTCCAGGCTTAGGGTGTGAGAGCAGCAGTGAAATTAAGCAGAAGAAGGAGTGCAGGGTTCATGGCTGTGGCCAGCCAGCTGTCAGCACAGGACCAGGGAAACTTGGAGGAAGTTCACGGGTTACACATCAGCTTTGAATCTCACTGTTGCTGACTTGAAAGGGAAGAAAATAAAATAAATGTTGAACGCTGGTTTCCTGTCAGAGGTAAAACTAGAGAGGGAGAGTGGGCCAGAGAGGAAGCTGAGCTTTTCCCATAGCAATGTACCAATGTCAGGGAAGGTTTTTCACAGTGAAAATTACTTGGTCCTCAGAAGAAAGCCTGTACACAATTACAGTGCCTTACCATAAACGTTGAGACACATCCTGCCAGTGACAGCCCCTGAGGGAAACGTGTTGAAGATGCATTTGTAGCATCCTTCATCTTGGAGGGTGACTCTGTGAAGGGAGATGGCCGAGGCTTGTAGGTCGCTGTGGGCGAAGCTCACGTGGCTGACATAGCCCTTTGCTATCTTCTGGCCGTTCATTGCACTGTAAGTCGCTATGTTGTCTTCGGGCCCATCCCTCTCCTTCTGCCAGGTCACCTGTATCACATCTTCTTTTGTCACTGCCCGGCACGAAAAAGTAACGTTTCCTCCTGCCTGGACCGACTGGACTTTTCTGTTCATCACCTGCACAGAGGCTGCAAGAGAAGCAGGTGCCACACTCAGCATTTCTCACGGTCGTGTGCAGCCCACCCCCAGCAGAGGTCCCCACAACCCTTCAGCCTCACTTCCAACCAGAGCAACACCAGAGGCATTCTCTGCCCCTCCATCCAGGGAAAAAGTTAAAATACAGCTTGAAAGAGCTACTCTGAGAGTTTCACTGGACCTGCCACCTCTCACACCAAGCATCTCACCAGCCTGATACCTGTGCTGTAGAGAGCACCACTGAGAAAGGCAGCTCTGGTGTTGGGAGCCACTGATTTCTGTCTGCTAGGACTGCTATCCTGTGGGCACCCATGGAGAGGTTCCCTAAAGTTTCAGCTGTGCTAGTGACCAAACAGACATTGGGCCATTACCTCTCTCTTAGCCCTCCTGCAGTGCAGAGTGAAGGAGATCTGTAAAACTTCTAAAAATTATGTATCTCACTATACACCGGGCATTGGCACTTGTCAGAGACTGGCAAGAGAACAGAAAACCAGAAGGAAAAAGCAAGGTAGGGAGAGCAGAGGCAAACTGCATTTGTCCTGCTCTCTCAGGCTTGAGGCCATGCAGCTGGGAAGCAGCTGCAGAAGAGACCTTGCTGAAGGCCCACAGACAGAAAACTTTCACAGCATAAATGCCATGGTATTAAAGGTCTCCAGGGAAAAGAAAACACAGTCTCCTCTTCCGATTTATAGACATGTGAAAAAACTATTAAGGGTACAGGCAAGGAAAAGGGATGCTCCCAGGCTGACAGCTCAGCTCCACAGTCCTCTTAGGATAATAGTTTTCCAAAGTTTGTTCACGTACATCAGCAGGGGCAGGAAGATATCAGCAAGGACGAGTGCATCACTGAGAACATATAATTCAATGTGTAAGAACACTAAATATCTTTGCAGGCTTTAAAGAGGAGTGAGGCTGTCTGCAGTGCCCAGAGGTACACTTGGCTAACCCACCCGACAAAGTGCTCTCAGGTTCTGGCTGTGGCCGTGGCCAGAGAGATCTCCACCAGAGACCAATAACCCAGCTGTGAAGCTGTACCAGTCATTTTGCTGTGCCACAGGCAGAATACAAATCATGATCATGAAAGTTAGTTTGAAACTAATTCAGCCTTTTATACATGATTTTTAAATACAAAACCAGTGTACACACACACACACACACGCTTTTGGTGGCCTGAGCAGATATCTACAAGCAATGTTTGGCTGGTTGCAATAAATTTGTACATCTCTCTGGAGCTTATAAATGCACTGGTGGTACATTAAGCAGCAGATACTGTCAACACAACCAGCAGTGACATGCCTGAAGCCCCAGGTGAGCACTGCAGTCGTGTGCAGTGCCACATGTGCTGTGTCACCTCTGGGCTTGCCCTGGAGGGGTGAGAGGTGGGGACTGCAGCATCCAGCAGCACAGAAGGCTGGCAGGGCCACAGAGGTACCTAAGGCCGTTACAGTAATGGCACAAACACACAGACAGACAAAGGAGTTACCTGATGCAATGGTCCAGATGCTGGAGAGGAACAGGCAAGAGACCATCATGATCTCAGCTATATGCTCAGCGAGATGAGCGAGCGACTGATGCATCGAGTGTGACTTCCCCCTTTTTATACACTGCGCTCGTACTCTAGGGACATTCCCAGTGCCTTCAGCTACAGTAAGAGGGACCTCATAAAAACTTCCTTCCCCTCTGACACTCAGCTGAATAACAAAATTCTGGGGGGACATGACAACAAATGTCAGTCAGAAACTGATGATTTCCCAGCGGGGCTGCCACACAGGCAGGGGTAATGGGTTTTTCACAAGCACCTTTTCCATAAGGTTGGGTTTTCACAAGTGCCTAAATACAAACACAGATTTCTAACCTGGCTGACCAGGGTCTGTGGGTTGCAGGATGAAAGGCCACCTTGGTCCTGACCTGAGCTCTAGGAAAGGAGTTTGGATCAGTAGTCATGCTGCAATGAGTAGTGCAAATGTCCCCGACTCAGAGGACCCAGTTAGATTTCTGCACCCTTTGTGTAAGTCATTGGACACCCAGGAGCTGCTGATGCTGCTGTAACACAACTCTTTTTCTAGGTTAAGGAGACCAGAGCAAGCCAAGTACCAGACCCAGGACCTAGGTCATGTTGCCTCAGAGAAAAAGCAGAGCTTTGTTCTCCGCTTTCTTCCACTGAGGTTGGCCCCATCTCCAGAGATCCATGATCCCTCCCTAACCCCGTCCCTAGGAAAGACGGGGCTGCTGTCCCACAAGGAAACCCTTGCTCTCCACCCTCACTTGAGATGACATTAAAATAGGTGACACAGCTGGTTTGAGCCACTGTTTTTGTGCACTTCTGCTCTGTCATTGTTACTCCTGTGTTTCCCTTTTCTCTGTGGGTTGCGATCATATTGCTGAAACCAGCCAAACCCTCAGCCCACGGGTGGCTCACACACCGCACAGTGGGGCAGCCAGCCACTGACACCTCATGTGCTAATCAAACTTCTACTGGTAAACTGTGTTTCATGTTTCTGCTTTCTGATGAGGTGGCTTCCAGTTTTGAAAATTCTTACTACTCCAAATGACTACGATTGCAACTAAAATGTTTTCTTTCAGTTGAATGGCTGCACAGATTAGCCTTGAGTCATGCAAATAGTTTGGGGGAAGCCAACGGGCCCAAGTCATAACTTCACACCAAAAATTCTCAGACGTACTTACACATTTGCAGTTCCTTGTCTCTTCCCAAGAGGTAATTAATCTGAAAACAGAAACAGCTCGGGTATCAGTATGTCTGTAAAGAAACATTTTTGATGTGCTTTTGAGTAGGTTCAGTAATTAATTCCCATCAGTCTGCAAATTGCAATTGGTTCATACTATTGCCTTTTTCATTTGAGGTATCTTGTTTTCCTTTCCTTGAGTTATTTTCATAGTTGCATTTTCATGCAAAACTTCTGGAAGGGCATTCTGGACTGATCAAAATGTGAAATCAACGTAAAAATGGTTCTTGTGTGGTTTCCCAGACCATTTTACAGCTATTAAGCAATATAATTAGCTCCAACAGGCTCTGGACCAAGACTCAGGAACAAGTCAGACAGAAGGCTGCTAGCCCCAAAAAGGAGATTCACAAGCAAGTATCTAATTTCTGATTGCCAGCCTCTCAGAACTTCCAAAACTGAAAAGAACCCCCCCCCAAACCCACAACCCATTAAAATTTGCTGACACTACATCCTTTTGCAGCACAGTCTCTTAGGAGGGTGCAAATGATCTCTTTAAAGATTGATTACAGGCTTTGTTTATCTCCTCATCTTCATTCTGCTACAATTTTGAAACAGTAGTTTAACAGGAGAACTTTCCACAAGCTTGCAGACACTGTCCTTATAGCTGACACCACTTAGTGATCACAAAAGGAACTGCACTGGATTTTTAAAAGAATCACAAGCCCAGCTGATCTATAGGAAATGTTTGTGTCAACTTTACCCGTCGTATTGTCTGTTAGAAACATTCTAATCTTCCAAAACCCTGAAATCTGTGTGCTGCTAGAGAAAACACTTCCTGAAAAAATCCTTCAGTCTTAACAAAGAACAGAGATGGGAAAAATGGTGGGAAAAATTTGTTGGCTCCGTTTGCAGCACCCCTGTATACCCAGCATAACTAGTGATAAAAGCCATGTGTTCTGGCTGCTCTTTCCAAGCTCTGCCTTTTTCCAGGTTCTGAGCACATCTGACTGCTGCAGCATCTCTGTCTGATCCCGTCCCTTTCTCCAGGGACCTGGCAACATCAGCACTTGATTAATTACTTTCAACATGAGGCAGGCAGAAATATGAGATCCACTCATTAACCCCACCACTTCTTTAAGTTTTGTGAGTGTATCTTTAAGTGCATATGTTCAGGCAGTTCCTACTCTGTTCATCTTTACATAGACTTTTGATGGATTACAGACCTCTTTCTTCCTTACAGATCTCATGCTCTTCTGCTTCAGTTGCACAGCATCTTCATTTCTGAGAACTGCACACCATGCCTGAGCATCAGTCATGTTTTAAAGTCAGCGAAAGCTTAGGAATAAATCAGGCAGAAGATTGTTCTGCAACCACTGCTTGAAAAACCCAGTGATTCCCATTCGTTTCCTCCTTTCTGCTTCACCAGGGTGTGCTCTCTAGTTCCCAGTAAATCCAAAAATGACATACAAGAATTAATTGCACAGTCATGAAATGCCAACGTTTCCCAACAGCCCAAATGACTAATGAAGTTGATAACTCACACAGATGAACTTTCAGAAAATGTTCCCGATGGGAACCACTCAGGCACAGTCGGAGTGCAAAACCGACTGTTTGCCAACCATCAGTCTAAACCACTGTTTTTTCAACCACCCAAACCCAGGTTAGCAACTGGGCAGCTGCCTACCTTGTCAGCAGGATTCGGTGCCACCTCTCAAGGCATTTTCTGTAAAGAGAACAAAACAGATAGGGGTGATTTCATTCACTTGTGATTTGTACTTACTTTTGGAGTTTGGTTCTCTGGTACTAGTAGTAGGTACAACAATTGGGAAGCAGCTTGTCAAATGCAAACGAACATCTCTGGAGCTTTATAACATGTTTGTAGGTAATGCCTGGATATGGCAAATCCCTCCCCATCTCCACTGAGTTTGGAGAGCTGCAGTACACTGGGGTTAAGACAGTATCTGTATCTAGAAACATATGCTCCAGCCTATGTCACTGCACCAGGGGGAGCTGCAGCAGGACCTGCAGTCCACAGCCCAGTGTTGCTGCAGGACTGAGGGGTGCTCATTTGAACTGGGTTTGGATTAGAGTTAGGGTCCACAAACACAGGGTGTACCCTAAGGTCCACCCTTAGGTCTGTATCCACAGTCACAACTGTTTATCCTTGGTCATGTTTGGGTTGGAGGTACTTGATTTGTGATCTCCCCCCAAACTGGACTCCCTCTCTCTGCCAACACACTGCTGTCAGCTAAAAGTTAGAGCTGCTGGTGCTGAAATGCAGTGTGGGACTGCCTAGTAAAGTGCAAAAGAGAAGCAAAGGAGGGGGCTAATAAAGCTTGTGGTGGTGTACATCTATCTGCAAAACTACATGTTCCCAGGGGACAGCACAAGTTGTCAAACTATCCTGTTAAGTGCCCAACCCTTCTTTTACCTCTGAGTTTTGATGAAATTGCTTCAGACACCTAAAGTCTTACAGAGATTTTTTTTTTCTTTTCCAGCAATGTATCACAATTAGAATGTGTAAACAAAAATTTGCTCATTTTCTAGACCACCACCCCTGCAAATAGTATTTCTGGTTCTTTTATTTTATTTCTTCCTTATAGCTCAGGAGGAAGAGAAAGGGATAAAAATTATTGAAAAAAAAAAAAGGAGAGGAAGAAGCAAAAAAAGACCACACTGGAAAGCTTTGGTAGGAAAGGCTGTGCTTCGTTGGGGTTTGAAGTGTTTGGTTTGTGCCATTCAGTGTGTCACACCATTTCTCAGAAGAGAGAGATGGCCAGGCATGTGTTTTCCTCTTGCCAAAAAACACCCTAAGTTGCTATTTTTGGTCAAGGGAACTTAGAGGAGTCCATGCTGCAACCCCCTAGTCGCTTCATGAAGGTCATCAGCACCAGCACACACACCAGTGTCTCAGGAAGCCACATCACTCATCCATTCCACCCTTCTTCCTCTCCCACCCCCACTTAAAATGTTTTCATGCAGCGGAGGCTTTGGGGTGATTTTGGTTTTTTTCAGGTGAACAACATCTAGGTCCTGCGTATGTCTGACAGTGTGAGAGATAATGAGCTGCTTTGGTCACTGAGTTTCATTCTGTAACACAGACAGTACAGAAAACAATCTAGCCAGAAAGGAAACCGCACCAAAATTGGCTACCCAAAGTGCAGAGATCCAGTGGAAGCATGGGAAACTTCCTACCAAAAATAAGGTAGGTCCAATACAACTTTATATTTAATTACTAAACAAGGCGATTAAGAGATGGATTCCATTAAAATTGGAGCAAATAAGACCTTCAATGAATCAGACTTAAGGGACCACGTAAGGCACCGGGAGGAGCCTCTTGATTAAAGAAAGGTAATTTAGAAAGCAAATTAGGACGAACAATATAGTTCTTAGTATGTCAAAGAGTATTACCTCAGGATGATTTTTAAGGAGGTGACTTCATCTGTAGGCTCCCAGCATGGAGAGCCTGCTGAAGGGAGGACGGGTGTTCATCCTGGTGAGGAACACAAGGAACAGAAAGTCCTTGTCATCTGCTCCAAGTTTCCAGGAAGGAAAACTGCATTTAGAGGTTCACTTTGCCATCTCTTATCTGTTGGCACCATATCTCATAGAGATAAGCTTTTATATAAACTATAAAAAAATAGATTAAACTGTACAATGTATTTAAATGCTGTACATGGGATACATAAGTATGCTATAGTTATGGACAACAGTGGTTAGGAATAGATTATCTCCTAAGGAGCTGTGAAGACAGAGGAGGATACTCCGCAGAAGCCACCTAGGACAGGTAGAAAATTCCCTTTCTTTTCCCTTGTTTTCTGAAAGAAAGAAAAGGTCTTGCAGTCTCTAAGTGCTGTATCCTGACTGCTTACTTGGTCTTATGGAGCTCAGATGAGGCACTCCATTGCCAAAATTAAACGTTCTGCTTGTTTCCAAAGAGAATCCATCCCTCATCTCCCTGCAGGTCTGTGTCCAGACATCTAAGTCATGACCACTTTACCTGGTCTTGAGGGAAAGGGCAAAAGTCCCCAGAGCATGAAGCCTTACAAAAGCAGTTTGAGTCAAAGCCAGCAAAATCCATGTGATGCTGGTGGGTCCTCACCTGTGTTAGCAAGGAGCAGAGATGAGCTCACGTGCCTTCAGGGTCTCAGCTCCAGGCTCTTTGCTCCCAGGCTTGCAAATACCCACTGCTTTAAGTGGCTGTGTCACACTTACAAGTGGGACTTCTGATCCTTTTGAAATCATTCCTGACTGCTTTTTAGGAGAAGGAATCGTAACTGTGAGCAAGGTTTTTGTAAAGCAGATTTTTCCTTCTACCTTGATAAGGCCATGAACCCCATATCCCCCATGAGAGCAGAAGGGAGGAAGGGCCACTACTGTACAAGGCATCACCAGCGTGGTGCTGTGTCCCAGCCTGTGCTCATCCACACTGCATTTTCCTCACTGTCAAAAACTCTAACAAATCACTGCCGAGAGAAGTAACTCAGGGAGAGCACTGACCAGCTGCCCTTGCAGGACAGAAACTGTAATTCATCTCTCCAGCTCCTGTCAAGGAGCTGTGCCAGCCTGGTGTGACTTTTGTGTAGCATGTCACTCCTCTGTCATAGCTGCCCAACTGATGATGAAGTCGCATCTTTCGGAAAAATCATAGACTTTGTGAAAGTTCAGAGTAATGGAGAAATAACAAGGGTAGGGGTTTTTTTTGTCTGTTTATGGGTTTTTTTTCAGAGAAACAGCCATACCTCAGCGACCTTGCAAAGTTCTGGTGCTGCAGAGGTCTAGTCCTGGCTGCTGCTGCTGCTCACTAGGTAGCATGAGAGGCAGAGACTGGAGGTTAGCTAGCAAGGGCTCCTCGGCTCTGCAGCACTGGGCAAGCTCAGAGCCTGCCTAAAGAAAAAGCTCAGGTTACAACATAAAATTTGCATGAAACTTGTAGCAGTCAGCCCATCCACACCAAATTCCTAAGGAATGAGGCTCATGTGGGTACATCAGCCAGCTGTCAGCATCTCTCCTGAGTAACTTGAACCAGACCTGGGGAAAAAAAAAAAAGTAAATGGGCACCTACAGGTGGGGTGGTATCTACAAGGCTTGGGAAAATTGGCAGTTGGGTGGAGGAAATAATCCCAAATTATCACTCCTGTGAGACTGGCAGGAAAAGTTCATCAGCTTCAGGTGAATTAGTCTGTGTGTAGGTGCTGGCCAACCATGGCCGGTGGGGCCCCAAGACGGAGGGGACAGGGCCAATTACAGGGGTGACAAGAATTAAAATGTCCTGAAGTGATGGGGCATTGAGCCTTTTTTGCCATGCAGCCAGACACAGAGCAAGGATGACACCTTTTCGCTTGATTGGATGTGGGGGTTTTGAGGTATGGAGTTTTGTGTCAGAGGTGGTGGGTTTAAGGAGTAAATTAGGAACTGCATATTTCTGGAGGAAGGTCCAGCTGTTTCTGGACCAGTAACCTCTCACTGAGGGACACCAAGCTAGATGGAGACAAGAGCTGCAGCAGCTCCCCACTGAAGCCCTTACTCCTGAAAGCTGGTGCTGTCAAGTCCCACAGCAGGGCAGAGAAGCATCATATTTCTGGAAGCAGATGGGGCTGGTGACACCCCTCATAAAGGTGGCTCAGTGAGTCCCTGTGTGACCTGACCAGCAGATTCCCACTACCTCTGCCCAAGAAGTCCCCCTTCATGGACAGAAAGTGCACCTGCTGCCTTGTCTCTTGGCCCTTAGGCAGTTGGATCAAAGCAAAATCAGATTGAAGGTAATCTTAATTTCAGGTGTACAAAGCAGACCTAACACAAACTTGAGCTTTTAATAGTAGGTGCTTAATGCTGCAGCTGCTGGGAGAAAATGTTGCAGATTTCAGACCCCATCATTTATCCATAGCCTCTGCTGCTTCCTCTAATTAATTTCTTGACTGTCTTTCCTTCTTCCTATACATCCCCAAGTCTGCCACTTCATCTCTTCTGTTTGAAGAGTTCACTTTTAAGCAGCACTTCTATATTTGGTTTGACCACTTCCTGAGCAAGACAGCTCATGCAGCCGCTCTGCAAAGAGCAAAGTGAAACTATAGAAAGAAAGAAAGAAAAGGAATTTTGCCTTTGTTTTCATTTTAATAGTTGAGTCATATTTCTCCTCTTTTGAGACTGCTGGTCAGAACTATTTCCCAGCATTTTCTGTGATAAAGCTATGCCTTCAATTGCCTCTAAAAAACCCCACTAAGATCCAACCCCAGAACCACTCCAACCAGCCCAAGCAAGTTGGGCTCCCTTCCTCCAGCTGCTGGGGACCTGCCCCAGAGAGTCACCATGTCTGTAGCATGAATTCAGATGCTGAGAAATGCTTTCAATTCTCAGACCACGCGACGTGTTTTCCCACAGGATTACATATGATTGACTAAATTAGAATTTATCTGGGAGCTGTGCAGCAGTTTACAGGTCTAATTTGCTAGAGGAACATGTGCTATTTATCTTTTGACAGTCCAGGGGAAGAGCTAACTAAGCCCAACAGCCTTTCCACCTGAGGAAGGGACTAAAAAATGAGAAGCCAAGTCAATACAAACAAGAAAAAGGGGAATAAATAATGGTCAGGAAACAAAAATACTTATATCAAACTCACAGTGTCTGACAGTTACAACAGACTCCTAATGTGAATAATGTGTATTATAAACATACGTGCATATTTTGTTTTAAATATATCTCATAGGGATTCTAGGACTGAATTGTATGAAACAGTCCCCTGGCATCTCCAACAAAGCTAGAGGAGTTTGTGCTCAGTGTAGGAAAAACACTATATATAATTCAAAGAAAATCAAGTAGGCAACCTGGAACAAGGTAGGATTATAGCTTTATTTTTAGACACAGAT